TAACTCTCTTTTCTCAAACGGCGCCTCCCTCTCCTTGAACCACCACCATTCATCTGTGTCCTCCAGATCCAGATCTAGAACCGCCGCAGTTGGCTTTTTCCCCTTCAGATCTGCTCAAGAAGACTTCTCCTCTTGACTCCCACGACCCTCCCTCCCGCCAGCTCTCTCCTCCAGCAATTACGGGGCGATTTCCAACCGTTTCATAAAGTATCAGAAGCTGATTTTGGTACCATCGGAAAGATCATTTTCTCAGCTTTCCATAACATCCAAAATTACGGTAAACCGAGTTATATTCAGAGAGTTATGGATATTTCTTCTTGTGACGTCAGATCTGTTTTAGGATATCAATTTATTTTTGTGAAGGTTTTGTGAAGCAATTTCCTGACGATTCGTAAGTCACTAGGAGTAGATCTACATGCGGTTTTGAAGATCTCCAACCCAACTTTTCAGATCTTCTTTCAGTTGTCCATTCAGAGGTATATTTCATCTGCAAATCAGCTCCAAAGTTTAGAGAAATTCTCTATTTCTGTTTCCAGAAAAATCTCAATTTCTAGTCTTATTTCTTTCATTAAACTTAAGATTTGTGTTTCATTACTCTGACTTGTAGCAGAGAAGGTCTTACTACAGAAGCTGCTGATGAGAGGCCTCTCCTCTATGGGAATAACAATCTCCAAAAGAAAAAGGTTCTGTAGACTTTTTACGTAGACCTCTGGTGTGGACCTTCTACGTAGACCGCTGGTGTGGACCTTCTACGTAGATCTTCATCGTCGACCTTATTTTTAATCTATCTTTTTAAAGTAGGCCTCATGTTACTTGTTGGATTTCAGTTTTTCTTTTCAATTTTGATTGTAACACTTTGCTTCTCTAATAAAAAACTTTCATTATTATTGTCATGATCTCTTTTGATATTTGCACTTATTTGATACACAAATTTTGTTTATTGAAAGAGATCAATACATGACTTATTATTAATATAGGTTTTGTTTCTTCAAAGAGATTAAGTCTAACTGAAAACTTACATAAAAAACTTGAAAATAGCACAAAGTAGATCTACTACGTAGATCTCAGTTGTAGATTGCATTTGTAGACCTTATTATCAGTCTACTTCTCCGAATTATACCTCATATTTAGTCTACCTTTCCAAAGTAGACCTTATTTTCAGTCTATCTCTGTGTTGTTCATCTACATCAGTTCAAAATCCAATTTTATAAAACTCATGTAATAAAAAAAACAGAAACCATGAACACACTGTGAGTTGTCATTAGCTTACGCAATGAAGGCGGATATGTCCCGGTTGCTGCACTTCGAACAACTATAAACTCTATCAAGCTATGAACCTACTCGTTGGTGATGTACATATGAGGAAAGTCTGAGGGTATTTGATGGAGCATCACATTGGGTAATTGATAAGATAATTCCACCATGTCTGCTTCCATATCCAACATATAGTCAGCTTGTTCCATTCTAAGAGGCTCCTTATGTGTACAACCATCCCGTAAGTAGAACATTCTCCCTCCTTTTCCTTTGTCCATCTCAAAATGCCATGACTTGTCTTCCATCACCATCCATTTTCCATAAACGGAAGCTAGACAAACCATTACCTGCAACAAAAACAAACCAGATCACAAAATGGTTAGTAGACAGAAGGTGTAGACCGACAAGGTAGACCCACAATTTGGTCTACCAGAAAAATTAAGCTAGATACCTAATTCAAAAGAAAACCGAATATAACCTTAATTACGCCGAAAGAACATTTCAAACTCACACAGAAGCAAGTAAACAAATAAAAACAACTAATTGTTCGAGAAAATTTCAAAATATTTGATATATTGAAAGGAAAACGACATTTTAAAAAACACATAATAATAGACCTAAAACGTAGACGTTCGGAGTAGACGTTCACGGTAGACCTCCACTTAGGTCTACTCCACGTGGACGGCCACGTGGAGGGTTAGTTTTGCAATTGATCGAGAAAAATGTTTTTTTGGAGGTCTACCTTGTCGGTCTACTACACGTGGAGGGTTAGTTTTGCAATTGACCAAACGTTGACTTTTACACGAGGTCTACCGTATACGTCTACCAGAAAACGTAGACCTCTCAATCGGTCTACCAAAAAAAGTAGACCTCTGAATTAGTCTACGCCTTAGGTCTACCTACCGAAAACAGTTTGTTTTGCCGTTGACTCAAGTTTGACTTTCCTCGGGTAGACTTCCGTGGTAGACCTCAGTTTTTTGCGTTGACCAGTAGACCTCACTGCGGTCTACCAGATGGTAGACCTACACGGTAGACCTCAATGACGCAAAATCTCTCCTTTTTGAGGAAAGTCAAACTTGAGTCAACGGCAAAACCAACTTTTTTTTTTAGGTAGACCTAAGAGGTAGACCTCCGAAAAACATTTTTCTCTATCAATTGCAAAACTAACCCTCCACGTGGAGTAGACCGACAAGGTAGACCTAAAAAAAACATTTTTCTCAATCAATTGCAAAACTAACCCTCCACGTGGAGTAGACCTAAGTGTAGGTCTACCACTCATTTTTTTTGTTTGCAAAGGAAATGGCACAGTCAACTCTGCGTTGACCAGTAGACCTAAACTGAGGTCTACTATGTAATGGTAGACCTACATTCAGTCTACCTTCGCAGACCAAAACTGAAATTCTTAGAATTTTGAAAGAAAAGTTACTTGGCCGTCGGAGAAAGGCTCTTCGAGGGCTGATAACTTCAATTTAGGTCTTCAATTACGAGTTCCAGTCATCACTGTAAGCTAAACAATTGGAAATGCCAAGACCCAAGATTTGAGTTTTCTTTTAAGTTTTTGGGATGAAAATGGAGAGAAAATGGAAAATAAGAGTTTGTGAGATGAAAGAAGGAGAAATGCTAGCTCAAAGTGAGTTTTCAGAGCATTAACAGCTCCAAATTGGGTAAAAATGGTGGTTGTCAACATTGATGATATGGCATTTTGGCAATTAAGTGTAGAAGATGAGGGGTGTTTGGTCTTTCAGCAGATCTGGTAGACCTAAATATCGGTCTACCAATCGAAAAAGTAATGGCATTCGTAATTAATTGGAAAAAACTGGACAAACTTAAAATGAAAAAAACAGGAGGTTAGTTTTGCATTTGACCACAATTTTGGGTCTAAGTGAAACAACCCCCAAAACATTTGTACAACATGTGTGACTAGTAGCTGATAGTAAGACTACAGAAACAATCAGAAAATGCAGAGTTGATTAGGCTCGAGCACCAAACCTAACTTGTAGTGCTGCTTCGTACTTTCGATCCCTCATATCTCGTATTGACTAGATGCGGTTGCGAACATGTTTATCAATAAGTTTTATGAGCAGGCTTGGAGAAGACGGAGGGTCCCCGTGGCGACTAGAATTTCTCTCTCTCCATATACTATTTAATATTTTATAGTACCTGCATTTTATTTTATCTGGATACATTATGTGGATCGGAATATCCGATTAAGATAGACGGACAAGGTGATTTGGTGTTTATGTTGAGTTGCTACTTGAGATCATTACACTTGAGTTATTACTCTTTTTTCTACCAGGTTCAAAAACATTCTAGCCACCTGAAAACTATATTTTTAGGTGTTTCAAACCCTTTAATCCCTGCTCATTTCGCAGAGAGATTGGGTCTTCAAAGAATCCAAGGAAAACCTCAAGTCAAGAACAAGAAATTTGGTTTTGTGATCGAGACTTAAACAGTAAAATTAACAAAGTTTGAATAGTAAATAATGGCTGAAATCCAAGATCTAAAGATAAAGATTTCAACTTTAATAAGAAAGACTAAAACTTGGTGCAAAAATGAAGAAAGACGACTCTTTTAGACTAATGCGAGTGATTTTTGAGTTAAAGGAGACAGCAGCTTTTGACTTTAAAACTTAGAACGGAGCTTCTAGGATGAGAAAAACAGAGGGAGATCTTCACACTCTCGTGAATGAAGCTCAAATGCAGGATCCAGCTCAAGAACTAGCTGTCGCTAGTGAGCAAAGATACAAGCAAGCTTTTAGTTCGAATCCTCTTCACCGATAAACTTCCTAAGACAATCGCTATCACGAGCTAGGAGATAGATCCCTAGGCTTAGATTATCAAGCCCTCTTACACACTTTTGCTGTGTAGAAGACTTGAAATCTGGGGCAAGGCGATCAAGAATGCCTCAGCTTTAAGGATACTAAGCTAGGAGAAACTCCTAAAGGTCCTAACTTTAACAACAAAACTGCTCCTTTAAAACTCTCAAATCCGCAAAGCCTAAAGAAATCTAAGCGACTACTCACTAGACATGCTTATCAAACCAATCCAATGAAGGAAGGGGTTGATAAACAAGCAAGCGAAATGTAAAATGTATATGCTTTAATGTACTAGTACGATTTTATATAATGGAAAGAGATGAAATCTTACAAAGTTTAAGATCTAAAAATAGATTATTTGCTTGATGAGAAAATGAAAGACAAATTACATAGTGGAGACTCTTAAAACCCTTCTTTTTTTTTCTCCAAGTTTTAAAGCTCCAAAACTCGGCGTTATTTTGCTCCTGCTTTGTCCAGCTGGACGATGGTCAACTCTACTCTTGGTCAAGATAAGCTTAGAAGTCGAAAATCAGGTTCCTAGAACCCGATTAACAACCTCGTCGAGAACTCCTTTGCGTCTTTGGCACTCCATACTCCGAATCAGCTCCAAAACTCCCAAAAGTACCTGATTTAGACTTCAAAATGCGATGTGTATGCAATGCAGGCTTTAAGAGGGTGTATTTGTGCAATGAGAGATAAGAGGACCTAAATGCATGCAAATGAAGCTAAAACAATGTAAATATGCATGTAAATATGTGCTAAAATGTGTTAATATATGGAGCGACACACACCCCCAAAAGCAATTTTCAAAGCGAAAACCTAGTTCTCTCCCGTTTCTTTCTCGACGGGTCCGCCGTAGCGGATTCGCCGCCCATCTCACTCGGACCACCAACAGCTTACTCTCTCTCACAATCATCTTCTTCTTTTCCTTATGGAGTCAATTCCAGATTCGTCAATTTTGGCAAAAGATTCAGAGAAATCTCCTCTAGTTGCTGGAAATAGCTCCGACAATAGGAGTTCCCTCAACCCTGATCCTCGTTGGCCATACTTAAATCGTTGGAAAGCACCAGAAGTTTCCAAAGCTTCGTCTTCCCCTGGAGAAAAATCATCTCCAGAAATCTTAATTCCACCGTTGTCTCCACCTTCATCCTCACCACCAGCTACTTCTTTGGTTGTTAATCTCCCTCTTAATGGCTCTGTTTCAGAAAAGGAAGTTGTTTGTGCTGCAACAAATCCATTGATTGATTGTAATCAATCAAAAGTTGCTCAATCCGAGTTAGCCAACAGTGGTAAGGAACTTGCGGAAAAGGACGTTGCTCATGTTCCCATTGAATCTCCTTCTCTCAAAGGTGCCTGGGCTAAAAAATTGGTTTTCTCTGGTCCCTCGATTGCTCAATCAACTAGAGTAGATACAGAAAAGTGGCCTTCTTTATCTGTCAGCAAGTCTAATCGTAGACAACAAGCTCGTAGATTTCAAGTTTCTCAAAGGTCAGAGGCAGTTGAAGATGACATTCGGTTTCCATGGGCAGCCAAAATGAATCCAGCCTCCAGAAATCTTTACAGGGCAACTGAGCCAGAGTATCTAGAAGATGGGACTCCAAAGGTAACCATTCCTCAACATGTCTTCTTACAAGGTTTAGAGAATCAGAAAGAGTATGTTTTAGGCCAGTTTTTTAGATGCTCTCCTCTGCCTGGTGGTCTGATTTATGCAGTCTTCAATAAGCTGTGGGGAAGAAACTGTAAGATTACTGTTAGAAAGCTAGGTGAATTTAACTACTTGTTCCATATTCCCCACGAATCCACTAGGACTTGGGTTCTCCAAAGGGATTTATGGCATGTGGACGATTGCTTAATGTTTGTTGCTTCTTGAACTCCTGAAGCATCGTTAGCTATCCCTGAGATTAAAACCATTCTAGTGTGGGTAACTTTAAAGAAAATACCCAGCATCTTATACTCTATTCCCGAAATTAGTCATATAGCCTTAGGTCTTGGTGCTCCTATGGTCACTCACAAACCAAGATTAGATCCTATTAACATGGGTGAAGCTAAGATCTTGGTTGAGGTTGAGTTGAGTAAAGGTTTTCCACCTAGAATCGCTGCTGATGATAAAAAGGGTTTTATCTCCATGGTTGATGTGGATTATGCGTGGTTGCCTTCAAAATGTGGTAGATGTGGCTAGCTTGGCCACAAGGTTAAACACTGCTTAGAGGCTGCCAGTGATCAATCTGCTATTGACTCCCTTGTAACTGGTGTTAAGGAAACTGTGAAACCTTCGAATGCTAGTCTTGAGTACTCGTCCATTCCTGTCTCCAAATCTGCTCAACTTAATTCTGCATCAGGTCATCAGGTCAAAGCATCGACTTATCTCCTTCTAACATTCCTGTCAATGATGGTAATGAATCAAACTTTGTTGAGCCAACTTCTACTATCACTATGGATGATCTCATTTCGTTAGGTACTATCTCAATTCTTGAGAATATGTCTGCTTGTAGAGTACATCATTATGCTCCTACTACCATCAACATTGCCGAATCTATTGAGACTCCTTCTGTGGAGTCTGCTCAGGTATGACTTCGGTCATGGCTTCTAACGGTACTTTTAGTAATAAAAATATGTTAAAAAAAAAAAAAAAAAAAAAGTGTTAATATATGGTTATATCACCACCTTCAGTGCGGACGGCTTTAGGCCACGTCCTAACTTTTAATTAATTTTTAGGTCACATTTTCATTAACAATGTTAGTTCGTTGTGTTTCGATGAGACTTTGAGCTAACGAATCCGAATCTTGTAATGGCACTTCTTACTTTGAAATCATGATTTTAGTCTTTAGATAGTACTTATAGTTTCATGATTCCTAAGTAATGTAATTTGTTTGTCTTCCTTTCATTATGTAAAAAGCATTGACCAAGGCAAGAACTCGACAGGACAATAAAATTATAATCAAACAAAACAGTCAGATAATATTAAAAATTTAGATCCAAAATATCTGAAACATAAAAGCAAAATATACCTTGAAGTCAAGTACAAAAATTCCAAGTGATCAACCAGATTGCAAAGAGTTTACTCTTCTAACACGAATGGCTAGAATCAAACCAAATTTAGTCATCAGACCACTATGATATCAAGCCCTGTGTGACCTTTAGCAAGTTCCTTAAGCTTGGTGATTGCTTCCTCTATCTCCAACTTGGTACTTGGAGAAAACGACAATAATGGTTTGATTTTCATAGTCTCGATCACCGTCTCTTGCGTTATCAAACGCGAGGCTAACGTGTACTCTTCTTTTGAACCGCTAAAGTTAAACAACCAGACAGTATATACACAGAAGCAAGCATCAGGAAACAGTTTTGTCTCTTCCCAAAACTTCTTATATATTATCCCAGTAGAATTTTCACCTTGTTTCATCGAAGCATTACTTTTCTATACATGCAAGAAAAAAAGAAAAAGAAAAATGACATGTAATACAAGCAAACGTACGTTGTGAATAAACATAATTAAACATGGTTAATTCCATCCATATCCAATAATAAATTACCTTGAATAAGATCTCAAGGTCTTCCATTTCTTCAGGCCATGAAACTAAGACTTCTTGTAGCATCTCGACTTCTTTTGTATTTGTCAAGTCTACGCTCACCGACAGCGATGCAAATTTTTCCATAAAATCACGGGAACCGTTCATTATGTTCATGTATTCGCGTCCAATGCTTTTCTTCTCCTGCATATGTCCAATGCATATGTCCAATGCTTAATTCATAAATATGTCATAATATTAATAAGTACTAGAGTTTGACCCGTGCTCAGCACGAGATGACAGTTTCTAAATTAATATTTTTCTTTTTGATAACAGCATATGTATTTGATTAAAAAATGTGTTTATATTTTTATTAAAAAATAAAATTAATTATCTCAATTTTTTTTGCCACAGACTTTTTTGTTTCTTATCTTGTTACAAATTAAAATCTTGACTGCAGATTAAATATGATAAACTCAAATGAGATACATAAAACTCAAACAATTACAATATAATAAGATAGTTAAAAAAACTGAAAAAAAAAACATTATTCTTGAAAAAAAATTATACTTCATGTATTTCATAAGATAAGTTGAAATTTTATAATATTCAAATTTGTGATAGAAAATATTTAAAATATTTCAACTTTTTAACCAAGTTAAACTATTTCAAATATTTTAATATCTTAATATAAATATTTTCAACTTTTTGTGAAATATTTATAATAATATAATATTTTTTGGTTCATTATATAGTTATATTTAAAAAATCATATGAAACCAAATATACTGATAAAATTGGATGATTATTAAATTAAACTTCCATGCTGATGGTTTATTATCATTTTGGTTCTTTTTATAACAGTCTTTTGAACTATCACATATTTCTATTTCCAATGTGGGACTTTGGTAATATATTTATTATTTTCATAATTTTAGTATTTGATATCTGTTTTTTAAAATTTAAATTTTAGTTTGTGTAAAAAAAAGGTACTTTTTTTTTGTATATGCTTAATGTGATAACTTATTTATTTTTATAAAATTTAGTTCAACCAAATGAGAGAAAAAGTTTAGTATTTAAGAAAATAATTAATTTGATATATTTGAGAAGATATGGAATGAATGATAATATCATTATGATTAAATGCTGGAATATGTATAAATGATTGATATAAATTATTCTCTAACCAAATTGATGCAATGGCAAATCATGTAAATAGTCTAGTAAAGATTGTCTTAATTAAAAAATGTCTTGAGAGTGAACCTAGTGATGACACATCAGCATGGCATTTTTGTTAATACCACATGAGACAAAGGTTATTTTTATAGTGTTTTCTCTTTTAATATATTAGGGATTACTTAGCAATTAGCCTCATTTATTTCTCTATCTATCATAAAACAAATGCAAAAGAAAAATATATATTTATTTATTACCTGATCAGGGCACGAGATATAATAGCTGGTGTGAGGAAAAAAATTTCCTGTACTCCAATAGTTCCTGTGAAAATGGAGTCTAGGATTTGCAACGAGGAAGTTCTCCATCTCACACGAGAGAGATCCGATGGTGAGGATTTCCAGAGTTGGTGAAGACACTTCAACCCCATCAATATTGTAAGAGGATATATACAAGAACTTTAAGTGGCGGTTGTCGATTTTCAGAGGGCCACTTCTTGTGTGGCAATTGATTTCTAATTGAAGCACGTCAAGAGAAGGGCAGGACGCGAGAACTACGTTAATGACTTCAATCTCGGCAAAAATGGCATAGAGTGTTAGCCTCTTTAGATTCCAGCAGTTGTTGAAAGCATGTGGAGCTTCAAAGTTGTATCCACCTAAAGCGAGTGATTCGAGGTTTTGATTTGAAAATGAATTCGGAGGCAAATCAGGTGTGATGTGTTTGATGTTTCGCTTGAAAGGGCATAGATCGTTTTCAAGTGTGAGATGCTTGATGCGTTTCTCATGAATCAGTGATCGTATCCAAGCCTCCATCATCCCGTTTTCACATTGGTATGAGTAGAAATAGAGTGTGCATCTTTCTATATGGCCACGGTGATTGTTTATGACCTACAATGCCAAATAATAAATAGGTTTTGATTTTTAAAGTGTGTTAAATTTGAAGCATACCAAATGATGAATCCACCAAGCTCGAGTGAGCATGTAAAAGATAAATATTTTGTATGCAAGAATTTATTCTATGTACGATGAGGCAAGATTTAATTTATGTTTTCCTAGGATTCATACTCACTGATCCGATAACAATATTTCACAATCTAAATTCATTTTCAAATATACTAAAATATGAAGAAAATAAACCTAATACTTTTTCACGAAATACGAAATACGATTAACCTTTATTTTTCATAAAACACACAAATTTTCAAAATTAAATCCAATAAATGAATATAGTAGTACAGCAACACAACATGTCCTCCACAATAAATCTAATATCTCAAATAAATAGGAACCTCATTTTTCATAAATGTTGTAATTTTACCACAAACAATAGAAATGCATTCATGAGTTATCGTCAGGATTTGTACCAAAACATTAACCTAGATCATCATGTATCTATTTCATTATCCAAAAACCATAAGAGAAACAAATGAGAAAAAGACATGGACCTTGGTCATCGATCTAGCGGCATCATGAGTATCAGCCAAAGGAGTTCCGACTTCGGCGAACCTTCGCAAGTCCAAGTGGAGATGAGACGTAGTCGTCTCCTTCCACAGATCCCCCCATCGATGTGATAGAACACTTGTTCTCATGGCTTCTTCGATGGACAAGTTTGATAAGATCTGAATCAATAGATCGTTTGGGAGTTTGTTGATTCCATCAACGGCATCGACAAGGACACCTTTGTCTTGTGCATTAGATGATACTTTTGATCTCTTCATTGATTTTCTCTAAAGGAATAGATGTGCTCTCTTGTGATAAAGCTTTTTGACTTGAGGTGTAAAGGTAAAGCGAGATGAGGATGAGGACTATAGATGCTTAATGTAGTTAATTACGAGGAGAAATGAAAGATTAAGGAAAAAACATATAAAAAGATTTGGGGTTGTTGTGACTTGTCAGAAATGGAAACCTTACCCAAATTTATTTCCTTTTTGAATTTTCATATGGACAATATAAATTTATTTCCTTTTAGCACCTAGAAATTAAGTCAAAATAAAATAAAATGCTTTCCTTCTTAACATAATATTTACCAAATAAAAATTTCCTTTTACAAAATAGATATGCAAAAGAAAACAAATTGGATATGCAATTTGAAAAAAACTAACGTTAGGCGAAATGTTGCGAATCTTCGTGAAAACAACCTTAACTAGCGGGGAAAATGTCATTCTTAAATCTTTTAAAACATATTAAGCAGAACAAATTTTCTCCTTTCCTTCTGATACATGCATGCATCAAGGGGATTTATTGCATAATTAGTAAAGTTATAAGCGGCAACAAAAATATCTTCTTTTCCTTCTGATACATCATACATGCATGCAGCAAGGAGATTTGTTGCATAGTACTAGTAGAAATATAAACTTAAATAGTAGTAGATATTCTTAGAGTCATTTAGTAAAATAGCAATTTGTGATCCTCTTTTAGCCTTTCTAGAAAATCTGATAATTGATTCGGTAATTCAAGAACGTTGGAAGATTCTCACAACCTCTTAACAATTTGTGTAAAAGAAAAAAAAAAAAAACTCGTGCGTAGCACGCAATCCACTTAGTGAATAAATAAAAGAAAAAGAGAGCAAAGCTAAGAATAGGATTCAAACTTGCGTATCACATGTGGATTGGATTAAGATAGATGGACAAGGTGACTAGCGGTTTATGTTGAGTTGCTATTGGAGATCATTACACTTGACTTGTTACTCTTTCTCTACATTCTAGCCATGCCTCCTTTAGTGCCGACGGCTTTAAGCCACATTTTTACTTTTAATTTTTAGGTCACATTTCAGTAATAATGTTAGTTTGTTGTGTTTCGATCAGACTTTGAATTAACAAATTTGAATCTTGTAATGGTACTTCTTACTTTCAAATCATGATTTTAGTCTTTAGAACGTACTTACATTTTCAAAATTCCTAAGTAATGTAATTTTGTGTCCTCCTTTTATTATATTTTTTCTTAACAGCTTCACTCATTATAGCATACTCGACAGGACAATAAAACAATAACCAACAAAACAGTCGGATAATATTAAAAATAATTAGATACTTGAAGTCATGTACATAATTTCCAAATGAGATAAACCAGATTATTAAGAGTTTTCTCTTCTATCACGAATCGCTATGATCAAACCAAATTTCATCAGACCAATATGATATCAAGCTCTATGTGACTTTCAGGAAGTTCCTTAAGCTTGGTGATTGCTCCCTCTATCTCCAACTTGGTTCTTGGGGAATACGACAACAATGGTTTGATTTTCATAGTCCTGATCACCGTCCCTTGCCTTATCAAGCGCGAGGCTAACTTGTACTCTTCTTTTGAACCACTAAAGTTAAACAACCATACAGTGCATACACTAAAGCAAGCATCAGGAAACGGTTTTGTCTCTTTCCAAAACTTCTTATTTATTCTCCCAATAGAATTTTTACCTTGTTTCATCGGAGCATTACTTTTCTACGAATATTTGGAACTAACCATGTTAAGTTTTTTCACAACGTTTTCTTGTATTACAATCACAAAAAACACGAAATGAAGTATACCTTGAATAAGATTTCAAGTTCTTCCATTTCTCCAGGCCATGCAACTAAGACTTCTTGTAGCATCTCAACTTCTTTTGTATTTGTCAAGTCTACACTCACCGACAGCGATGCAAATTCTCTCATTAAATCATTGGAACCGTCCATCATGTTTATGTATTCCTGTCCAATGCTGTTTTTCTCCTGATTCATAAATATGTCAAGTTAAGTATTACTTAGCAATTAGCCTCATTTATTTCTCTTTCTATCATAATACAACTGAATGCAAAAGAAAAAGAAAAGAAAAATAGTATATACCTGATCAGGGCACGAGATATTATAGCTGGTGTGAGGAAACAGTTTTCCTGTATTCCAAAAATTCCTGTGAAAATGGAGTCTAGGATTTGCAACGACCAAGTTCTCCATCTCACACGAGAGAGATCCGATGGTGAGGATTTCCAGAATTGGTGAAGACACTTCAATGCCATCAATATTATAAGAGGATAAATATAAGAACTTTAACTTGCGGTTCTCAATTTTCAGATGACCACTATTTGTGTGGCAATCGATATCTACTAGAAGCACTTCAAGAGAAGGGCAAGACGCAAGAACTACGTTAAAGACTTCAATCTCGGCAAAAATGGTAGAGAGTGTTAGGTTCTTTAGATTACAGCAGTTACTGAAAGCATGTGGAGTTTCAAAGTTATATCGACGTAAAATGAGTGATTCGAGGTTCGGATGGGAAAATGAACTTGGAGGCAAATCGAGTGTGATGGGTTTGACGTTTGGTTTAAAAGGGCATGGAAAGTTTTCAAGAGTGAGATGCTTGATGCGTTTCTCATGAATCAATGCTCGAATCCAAGCCTGGACCATAACGTTTTGACATTGGTATGAGTAGTAAAAGAGTGTGCATCTTTCTAAATGGCCATGGTGATTGTTTATAACCTACAAGGCCAAATGATAATTAGGATTTAGGATTATTTTGGAACGTGTGTTTAATATGAAGCATAGCAAATGATGAATCCACCAAGCTCGAGTTTGTATGCAATCATTTATTCTAGGTACAATAAGGCAAGATTTAGTTTATGTTTCCCTAGAATTCATATTATCTCCAATCATAATAAATTCACAATCTATATTCATATCCAAATACATTGATCACCAAAATTTGAAGAAAACAAAACTAATATTTTTCCACTATACGTTAACGTTTTTTTTTTTTTTATAAAACACCCGAATTTTCAAAATAAAATCCAGTTAATGAATACAGTAGTACAACAACATCAAACATGCCTAATTAAAATCTCAAATAAATTAGGAACCTCTTTTTTCAAAAATGTCGTAATTTTACCGCAAATTATCCAGAAATGCATTCATGGGTTATATATGGTATAGTTTTGTAATAAAACATCAACCTAGATCATCATGCATCCATTTCTTTATCCAAAAACCACAAGAGAAACTAATGAGAAAAAGACATGGACCTTGGTCATCGATCTAGCGGCATGATGAGTATTGGACAAAGGATTTCTGACTTTGGCGAACCTTCGCAAGTCGAAATGGAGATGAGACATTGTCGTCTCCTTCCACAAATCCACCCATCGATGTGACATAACACTTGTCCTCATGGCTTCTTCGATGGACAAGTTTGATAAAATCTGAATCAATAGATCGTTCGGGAGTTTGCTGGTTAGATCAACGGCATCGACAAGGACACCTTTGTCTTGTACATCAGATGATAATATTGATCTCTCCATCGATTTTCACTAAAGAAAGAGATGGGCTCTCTTGTGAATAACAGAGACACGAAAAAGAGATGATGCTTTTTGACTTGAGGTGTAAAAGTAAAGCGAGATGAGGATGAGATTTATAGATGCTTAATGTAGTTAATTACGAGGAGAAATGAAAGATTAAGGAAAGACAGATAAAAACACTTGGGGTTGTTGTCACTTGTCAGAAATGGAAACCCTATTAAATTCTATTTCCTTTTTTGAATTTTCATCTTGACTATATAAATTTATTTCCTTCTAGCACCTAGGAAATTGAGTCAAAATAAAATAAAATGCTTTCCTTATTAACATAATATTAGTTATTTACCAAATAATATTTTCTTTTACAAAAAAAAAAAAAAATTAGTTATGCAAAAGAAAAAAAGTATTATGCAACTAAGTTCATCAAGTGCAAATGAAATAGAAAATTATGTGGTTCTGATTGCATTATACATAAAAGAAAAACTCCAGCAAATTCAATAAAAAGTCGAAAATTGAAAAACAAAGTATTGAAACTAGCATCATAGAAAAAGATCAGATTTTTATTTATTTCATAGCTAAACTTATAGTTATATATGATTATATCTCAGCAAAATTTTAGTATTAAATTTCGACTTTTAGTTGAATTTTGTTTGAATTTTCTGGGGTTTTTCACATTTTCTTCTATGTATAATGCAATTTTAGTGGGGAAAATTGTCATTTTTGAATCTTTGTAAAAATATTAAGCGGAACGCAAATGTGTTCTATTTTTTGCCTCTGATACATGCATGCATCAAGGAGTAATTAAGCGGCAATCTTCCGTCGTTCAAAAAAAAAAAAAAAAAAAAAAAAAAAAAGCGGCAATCTTCCTTTCCTTCTGATATATGCATGCATCAAGGAGATTTATTGCATAGTAGCAATATAAACTTAAATAGTACTTAGTAAAATAGCAATATGTGATCCTCTAATTAGCCTTTCTAGCAAATCTGATAATTGATTCGGTAACTCAGGAAACTTAAAACTACACGTTTGCAACAATAACATCTCTTTATTTTTTTTGCCAAGCAACAATAACATCTCAAATGTATTTTATAGTATTTCTGCAACTCTTACATGACGGTAACATATTCATACCAAAAAAAAGGAAAAAAACAAAAACTCTTACATGACGTTGAGTTTGAGCTATATCAAAAGTTTATTTCTAGCTGAGAACTTGTGTAAACGAAAACAAAAACAACTCGTGCGCAGCACGCAATCCACTTAGTGAACAAAGGAAAGAAAAAGAGAGCAAAGCTAAGAATCTAAACCAAGTGATTCCCACTGAGGAACTCTCTTGCTGAAGAACCTCCCAATAACTCTGGAATCAAGAATCTGAAGTGCTCCTCCGGATTTAACACATCTTGGAGTCTTATACTGATTCACTGAAGATCCTTGAGAGATACTAAAGTCCATTAGCGAATCAAAAGTACCCAAACTCACCACTCTTATCTCCAATGGACCTACTGATTTATCTTTGTTCCTGCACCTCCTGTACACGTAATCCAAACAATCTTCCACCTCAGAGCAAAATCTTCCATCATCTTCTCGTCTAGCTTTGGTGGGCCATTGTCGTGACGTGACTTCAGCTCCCAGAAGAGCACGTAATGCCCTGGGATTGATGATGTGTCCGCATAGCTTGTGTACTCAGTGAGCAACAAGCTTTGGAGATGTTTTATTTTGGCTTGTGTCACTGCTTTCATTAGATCTTCTTCACTGGTCACTACAAGAAAACAGGGCTTTTCCAACGGCTATAATCGTAGTTTTGCCGTTGGAAACAGCTAATACAAACGGATTAGCGACGAAAAAAATCGTCGGACTATCAGGTGGCTAATTTAGCGCCGTCGTAAATTCGTTGGAAATTTCCGACGGATTTGCGAGAGACCCGTTTTCCAACGGATTTGCGAGAGACCCATTTTACGACGGATTTGCGAGAACCCCCGATTTACGACGGATTTTCGAGAGACATCTTTTCCGACGAATTTACGAGAGCCCGTTTTCCGACGGATTTTCATTTATAGCATTGGTTTTCGTTGTTAAACCGTCAGGTCCACATAAGCGACGGAATCCCGACAAGTGTTTTCGTTGGTTGATTCCCGAGAGATTACCAATCGTTTAATTAGTCGGACTTGCCAGAGATCATCTATCGCAACGGATTTCAGAGAGATTGTTTACCGACGGGTTTGCAACGGAATATTTACCAACGGATTATCAAGGGATTGTTTTGCAACGAAATTGAGATGGTTTGCCGATGAAAATTTGTAAACTTTTAAAAAAAAAAATTGCCGCCAAAATAGAAACCAAAGTTAAAAACCAATATATTACATGATAGTAGATTGTTTAAGTTAATCCAAAAGCACAATCTTAGTAAGTCTTATCCAAAACCAAAACATTAGTGTATTTCAAAGCATTCAGATTACATGCATTAGAATTAGAACTATGGCATATCCGGCCACTTGCTTTTCATAAACGCCTCCATTTTAGAGACTCAAGTCTGTGTAGAGGTGAGCTCCTTGTGTACTACACAGCCTCTCTTCTGTTTCTGCTTTGGAAGCTTCCAAAGCATCAACTTTGGCTTTAAGCTCTTCGTTCTGCTGAAGGAGGTCTTCATTGTAGTCAGCAAAGAATGCTGTTGCGGGATCCGTTTCAACAATCTTACCCAGCCCTGAACGACGACCTTTGCGGAGAGGAATCTCCTGCAAAAGCAAACCAAGACAAGTAAGTTATAAGACAAGAGAGAACTATCAAAACAGACAAGAGATATAACTATCAAGACAAGATATAAACAAGTGCGGAAGTGAGCTACAAGAGATAGAAATATCAAGAACTATGCTACAAACTAAAAAAAAAAAACGAAAGTGAGAAGAAAAACCGGAAACGAGTCTTAGTCATAAGAGAAGTCATATGATAAGACTTCGCAATGAAGGTAGGGCGTTCCACTAACTCAACTAACCAAGTGGGATATTCGACTCCCCTAGATGGACCTGTGGTAATCTGATCAAAAAAATTAAAAGTTTCATGTTAAATGCTATAATTAATAAAGATTAATTGAAAAAAAAAAATCAAATAAGCTAAACACTTACAAAGTAATATAACCAATCCGCAAACTCATTTTGCTTGCGATTTATAAGCTCATCTTCTGTGTAACCAGGATAAAAGTCGCGTATTTGGTCCATGTAAATTCTGCAAATTTAAAGATACAATCAAAATGAAATATGGTAATTATAAATTATCATGTTAGTAAATAAATTTAAATTTATAATAATTAAACTAGTCATACCTTTCAAACTCCAGTATGTCCTCGCAATTTGTTAGAATATACATATGCAAATGGCTACTTTCCAGCTGTGATAGTTGGCGCTCCTTGCTTTTACCACTTAAACGGCCGATTTCAGCAAATATGCTTGGAACATAGAGTTAGTAACTCGGTCTTTCTCCTCTATCATCATGTCGGGCAGGTCGGCTGTTTTTGGTTTGTACATTAGAGGGAAAGTAGTAACTGGAGAAGTGGGAGGTTTCTTCATTTATACTCTGAACAACGATGGATCCTTCGACTTTGGCGAGATTTCCAACTTTCTTCTTTAAGTGAAACATAAACCGCTCAAACGGATACATCCATCGATACTGAACCGGTCCACCGAGTTCCGCTTCTTTAGGAAGATGAATGGGAAGATGTTCCATAACATCAAAAAATGCTGGTGGAAATATTTTCTCGAGCTCGCAGATGATTTCCGGTATATTCTTATCCAGATTTCGGATACCATCTTCAGTAAGAGTTCTCGCGCATATGTCTCGAAAAAATGCACCAATACCTGAAAAACATACATCAAGGTTAGTTTGCATATTTGTTAAAAATTTAAAGGAAAGTAATAATATTCTCATAATTCTCTATTCATACCTGCGATAGCCTTGTGAACATTGTTTGGTAAAAGACCTTTAAATGCAAATGGAAGACGCTGCATGAAAACGTGACAATCATGGCTCTTCATTCCCGATAACTTTCCTTCGTTACGATCGACGCAGTTACGAAGATTAGATGCGTAACTGTCAGTAAACTTTACGCTATGTTTAATCCAATCGAAGAACTCCTCCTTTCCTGCTTGATCCAACCAAAAAGCTGCGGCTAGTGAACTCCCATCTTCATTCACATGTAGCTATTGACGGGAACAATACAATGGCAAATCCAATCTAGCCTTCAAATTATCTTTTGTCTTCCCAGGCACATTTAGGATTGTCTTCATAATGTTGTCGAAAAAGTTTTTCTCAATGTGCATGACATCAAGGTTATGGCGCAAGAGATGGTCCTTCCAATAAGGCAGCTCCCAAAAAATACTCTTCTTGTGCCAATTATGATACTCTCCACAGCCGGGAACCTGCTCATGCCCATTACCTCCGCACAAAACTGTACTGTCCACATCAAAATCGCTCATCTGATTCAGCATAGCAATCCCATCTATCTCCGGAGGCGGCCCTTTTGAGATCTTTTTGTTCTTCCAAAACAATGTTCTACTCTTACGGTAAGGATGATCATGTGGTAACCATCTTCGATGACAATCAAACCAAGAAGTCTTTCTACCATGCTTCAACTGAAAGGCGTCTGTGTTGTCTTGACAGAGTGGACATGCCATCCTACCGTGCGTTGTCCATCCAGATAGCATACCATATGCCGGAAAATCACTTATGGTCCATATAAGTACAGCCCGCATCACAAAGTTCTGTTGAACAGAAACATCAAACCCTTCAACCCCATTTTTCCATAACATTTTCAGCTCATGGATTAACGGTTGCAGGAAAATATCGAGAGATTTCTTCGAATGTTCAGGACCGGGGACAAGGATTGAGAGGAACAGAAACTCCCTCCTCATGCACATAGACGGTGGTAAATTGTAAGGCGTCAAGATCACCAGCCACAAGGAATATTGTCTTCCATGCTTTCCGAAAGGGTTGAATCCATCCGTTGATAACCCTAAATACACGTTCCTTGCTTCATTCGCAAAAGTAGGATAACAATTCTGGAAATGTTTCCATGCTTTTGCATCTGAGGGATGTGTAATCTTACCATCCGAGCTATGTTCTGCATGCCATCTTATAGATTTTGCAGTGCGCTTCGACAGATATAACCTCTTTAACCTCTCTGCTATCGGTAAATACCACATCCTTTTGTAAGGCACAGGTACTCTTCCGCTGGTCTCCTGATACCGAGGTTTATGACAAAAGCGACACTTCAAGCGATTTTCATCCTTCCTCCAGTAGATCATGCAGTTGTCAATGCACACATCTATCATCTGATAGGGCAATCCAATACCACCTACAAGTTTCTGAATCTCGTAGTATGTTCCAGGCAAATTATTCTCCGCTGGTATCATGCGCATCCCCCAGTTGCACATTCGATCAACAAGCTCCTCAGGCAAGTTGTAATCCATCTTCATACTCAACAAATCGGTTGCTTGTGATAACCTTGAAACTTCAGCACTACATCCTTCGAATAATGGCTGCTTAGAAGCATTTAACATATCGAAAAAACGTCTAGCCTCAATATTAGGTTGCTCATCTCTACTACCATCATGGACATATGATGCAATATTTTCACGAAATGCATCATTCACCATATGAACCATCCCTAAGTTTTCATCTACTTCCGGTGTTGATTCCTCTAATCTAACCGATCTACCACCTAATATATCAGAAGTGCTACCATAATTTTGAACCATTAAGTCAGTTTCTCCATGAGAATACCAAACTTTATAGCCAGGCATAAATCTGTTTCTACACAAATGGTACCATACTTCCCTAACAGCAACTAATCTATGATTCCGACATTTGACACAAGGACAATACATTTTACCGTATTCAGATGTCATGCTGTTGTTTGATGCCAACGTCATGAACTCGTCAACGCCATGTGCATACTCATCCGTCAATTCACCGGTTGTCGGATTATATCGCGGTTTATCCATCCAAGAACGAAAATAATTATAAGGATTTGAAGTACTCATTTTGTTTTCTTTACTCTTCCAATGTGAATGAGGGATGAAAGGATATTTATAATAGATTTCTTGCGCCAACCGACGGATTTCCGACGAATTTCCGACGGTTACAGAATTTTAACGGCTACAAAACGGCTATAAAACGGCTACTTCAAACGGCACAATAACGGCTATATTTTCTTCGGGAAACGGACGCTAATTGGATAATAAACATATTCATCGAAAATCCGTCGGAATACATCCACGGATTTCCAACGGATATTACAAATTACAAATCGATAATCCAGATAATCGCAAATCCGTTGAGATACCTCCACGGATTTCTAACGGATGTTAAAATTTCAAATTGGAAATTCTTACGATCGGAAATCCGTTGGGATATTCCAACGGATTGCCAACGGATGTTTCAAATTTTAAATCGGTAATACGGACGATTGAAAATCCTTTAGAACATATCAACGGATTGCCTACGGATTTTAAAATTTCAAATTGGAAATTTTTACGATCGGAAATCCGTTGGGATATTCCGACAGATTGCCGACGGATATTAAAATTTCAAATCAGAAATTTATACGATCAGAAATCCGTTGGCATATTTCGTCGGATTGCCGACGGATACTAAAATTTCAAATTGGTAATACAAATGGTTGGAAATCTGTAGGAATATATCCACGGATTTCCGACGGAAGTTTCAAATTTTACAAACAATTCAAATTGCTTTGCTAATTGGTTGGCATTTTCATTTCCGTCGGTAATTAGTTGATAATTTCCAACAGAGTTACCGACGACGGAGTTTTCGTGGGCAATTTCCGACAACCGACCGATGACTTGATTTTCGTCTGTAAAAGCTTGAAAATCCGATGGGAATTTTCAACGAAATATGAGTCATTGGAAATTCCGTTGGAAAAGGCCATGTTTTCTTGTAGTGGGTTTTGTCTGTGTCAATGCTTAACACAATGTTTTTTCGCTCAACGAAACTGAATTGAGGTGCCTTGTTGTGGAAACCACTCACCTTCAGAATATCTCCTACTTTGTATCTGTATAAACCTGATAAAAAAAAAAGTCAAGTCTGCCAAATGATCGTAGAATCCACCAAAAAAATAGCAACCTAGCAGATTGAAATCTAAGTCTGCTAATAACTTTGGAAGACTTTGGTGTAGTCTGCCAAACATCGACATAGTCTACCAAAAAAAACGCAGGGTCTACTAAAGATACTTTGAATCTGCCAATAAATTAGCAGACTAGCAAATTAAAGTTCAAGTCTACTACAAATTCGCAGAATCTGCCAAAGAAAAATAGCAGACTAACAAATTAAAGATTGAGTCTACTAATAACTTTGGAAGACTTAGTATGGTCTACCACACATTGACTTAGTCTACCAAAACAATGCAGAGTCTACGAAATATAGTGTAAATCCGCCAATAAATTAGAAGACTAACAGAGTAAAATTCAAGTCTACCAAAAAAATTCATATAATCCTTAAAAAAGTAGAAGACTAGCAGATTAAAACCATGTCAGTTTAAAAAAATCTGTAGACTTCCAAAGTCTGCCATATCAAGTCTTCCAAAACATGGTAGACTCTTATTTCATTTTCTGAAAATAAAAATAAATGATTACTTGAATATTTATGAACGTAGAATTTTGAAAGTTAAAGGTGTATCTTTGGTTTTGTTTTACCATTGGTTTTAAGATGTAAACCGAATAGATCTACATAACAAAAGCAATATTAGAAAGAAAAAGACATAGAAAACTTTATTTGTTAAGCAATCATAATCAATTTTCATGAATAAACAAAAATAAAATAGAAGCTAAATTACCTATTTCTCTAGTCTCTACAATGATTAAAGAGAGATATGTACGAAGGATTTGCTAATTGATGATGAATATTAAGAAGTGGAACATGAAAGAACTCTCAAAGAAGAAGATGAATATGTCAACAATGATTTTTGAAATAAAGCTTTCCTTTTTAAAAAAAAACGGTTTCCTTTTTTAAAAATTCCGAAAGATTATGCATTTAATTTTTGGTTTCATTAAATTTTATTTTACTTCCTTTTATATCAAATTTCGTTTTTAAAATAAGCAATATATGTTTCGATTTTTTTTTCTTTTAATTATTATGTTTTTAGTTAATTCATGTACATATATTATTTATTAAGTTAAGGGTAATTTGGGAATAACATTTTAAGAGAATTATAACAAATCTTACTAGGTTATGCTGGCTATATCTAATTATTATGAGGCTATATGAGCAAATCACCCTAGTATAGATTCAAAAATTACAGCAATTTTTTTTTATCAGCGGTCGACAAGGTTATATAAACTCTAGCATTGATTGTATGCACTAATTAGTTATTTTAGTTTGATCGCTTGTTATATTATATCATTGAATTTAATGTTTCCAAATTGTAAAATATTCTTTTGTCCAAAGAATTATATTTTCTAATTTGTTAAGAGAAACCGGGTTCTCTTTGAAAAGTTCACAGCCTTTTACAGGTTAAGACAGTAAATCGAGGCGGTAAACATTCAATTTAGATCATTTAAACTGTGTTGGTGGCACTTAGTGACTGCTACAACGTCGAGCTTAAAAGAAGAGAACGTAACGGAACCTGAGCTAATTCTCTAAAGTAATTGATCATAAAAGCAAGAGGTTAGATTCATGGAGTCATACAACAAATTGGTTCTTTAAAGCGAATTATGAAGCAATGATGTAACGAGACCGACCCCGTGGAAGAAATGTTCACAAAGGATCCTACTTTCTACCTCATTCGCAAACTCTTAACCACAAATCCACAGAGATTCAGAGGCTTTCCTGCAAAGTGTAAACCATTAAGCGAATTCCAATGGGTTTTGAGCCTCAAGCAGCTACTTGTCATCATGTCAGTCTCTATCCGGCGAGATCAAGCTCCTCGATATAGTGATGGTTTCTACTTGCGGGTACCAACAGGAGCAAACACTGGAAGCTGGTTCGAGGTTGTGTCTCTCTTGAATCTAGCTTCCCGAGGCAATGCCAATCCCATTCTGTCTTGTCCATCTCTTCCCGAAGCCCCTTCGTTTCTCAGGTTATCTCTGTTTGGGATATTTACCAGCGGACCACCAAAGAAGATAGAGTCACCTGTATACGTAAGTCTCTCTCCTTGCTGCTGTGGAGGAGGAGGAGGAGGAGCCTTTCTAGATGAAGAACTTTGAGGCGGATGAACAACGGGTGGTGTTCTTGGATTCTGAGTGTTACCCACGTGTGAGCTATGAATTGGCTGCAGGTTCTGTGAGGTTAATCTGGTTCTTGCCTCAGATGTTGTTGCAGGAACTGATACATATCTACCTGCTTCTTGGTCCCAAACAACTGATGTTCTTCTCACATCTCTCATAAGAGAAGCTGCAGGAGCAGGGTGGAGCAACGGATCAGGGTTGTTTCCTTTCTGCATTATCTTCTCATCAAAGGTTGAGTGGGTCATGTGATTAGTTGCTGGATTAGGAGGTGGCCTGGGGGGAGCATTCGATGAGGCCGCCGCAGTGAAGCGGTGGCCAGCAGCAGTATGATATTGAGGGAGAGGGCTAAGCGTGACAGCCTCGTGAGCATGACTTGGACTGCTGAAACTGCTCATACTGTGTGTTCCTGTCTCGTACTCGTCCCTGCTACCTTGGCTTGGAGCTAAAGAGTTTCTAGAGAGTGACAGCCTTGGATCGTTGTTTCTCATCTCTTTATTCAACACAACCCCATTTGCTTCTGTGCTTACGCTACTGACCACACTGACCGTACCACTTAAACTAAGTTCATCGTCTTGTGCATGACGGTTTTCTATCGGCCGTAGAACGGATGATGACGCTCTGGCTCTAGCAGCTGCTCTTGCAGCTTCATTTGAATTCAACTTTGCGAGTTTCCATGTACTAAGCTTGACAGGTCTCTTTGGAACCTTGTTGCCCCTCTCTGCTGATTCAGCTGCATCTGGATCTACGGTCGAAGGAACCATTCCAGGGTCCAAATGAGGAATCACTTCATCCTGCAACACAGATAACAAGTATCAGGCCGACATATCAATAACCAAATAACTCAGTAAAAGCAACATGGAAAATTTGTATGTATTTAGGGTTCTTGGAATAGGAAATGATACCTGATAATCAACAAACACTCTAGGAGGAGTGCACCAAGCTCCCTTGTAAGGTAGACCAAGGGAGCTTCCACCACTAAAGCCGGTCGTGGCAGATCCAGAGGGAGAATACAGCATGTTAGGCATCTCCTCATCAATCGAAGCTCCAGCTGGCGCTTCACTCATTGCTCTCATTGCCACAACATACTCATAAGTTGTAATGCCCTGTTCGTACATTCGATCAGCTCCATTTACAAACGAAGTAAAGGACAAAAACTATATACCATAACCACATGTTTTAAGCGGTTAAACGGGTTAGGGGAATGGATCAGATGGTCTAAGGCTGTCAAAAGAAAATAAAAGAAGTCTATCTTCACAACTAAGAAGAGCATGTGCTACTCAGTTTTTCTTGCAACCCAAATGCTTTTTATATGGTCTTAAGATTCATACCAGTACAGCGAATAGATTACAAGCAAATAAGACCTATAGTTACCTTTTTAATGAGGAGCATGTGGAAAAAGAAAAGTTCACCCAGTGGAAACAAGGCCAGAATAGAAACAGCAGTGCAGAGACCCTGCACAAATTGTAGGAAAGCAACATGAACATCAACACTAGAGGCTCTCTCTCTATTGCATTTGCAAAATGTTTTACACTTGCGAATACTTACAACAACCGTAGCAAAAGGTGCCCGAGAAAATCCATTTCCGAGTCTATTGACGATCTCGGTCTCCATATCCTTCTTATTAACAAACACACGCACTATAACTGCAATTCCAACTGATGCTTCAATAAGGAGCTGAGAAGAAGACAGATTTATTGATTACTGATTAAGCCTACAGTGGAGCTTAAGAAATAACATATCAGGGATCGTATACGTACCCAGACAAGACTGACAGCCATCAGTGATATAAAAGTGATATAGTTCTTGCGACCGACACAATTGTTAAGCCACTGAAACATTTAAACACAAGCTGTATCATTCGATTGCACACCTCCAAGAAAAAGGCTAAATGTCACAACTGTAACGAAAAGCTTACCCGGCAATGGTGATCGAAACAATCTACACATTTGTCGCAACTTCGACAGTGCTTGCTAAACTTACGCACCTGTCACAAAGAAGGAATCAAGGTGAAGCGTTGATATTCTTTACTCTTCAGCATTTCTAAGCTAATCATAAGAAGCATATGCAATTGAAGCACAATACCTCGGCATTGCACAGAGTGCAAAACAGAGCTTCTTCTCTATCCCCTTGCTCTTCACCACTCTCTTCTTTCTTACGACAATCTTCATAAACAAAGACACCACACAAGATCGCCAAAGGATTAAAGCAAGATTTCTTCCTAACAGCTTCCACTCGTCCACCGTCTCCTCCTACAGAGCCTTTCACGCTAGAGTTTGCAGGTAAAGTAGAAGCCCTGGAGGCAACCGAAGGAGAAGAATGCAACTGGCTCCCAGTTTCATCGAACTTTCTCGAAACATCTCTTCCCGTTAACGCATCATCATGACCTCTGTTCGTTGCGCCTCTCTCGAACTTGGACATGATTCCTGGATCCGCAGGATTGATCGCAGTACAACGAACATAAAGAACAAACACAATGAGAGCCTGCAAACACAAAGCATAAGATCGTCAGATTCAAAACCAAAAGCTTTAAAGGAATAGTTTTTTATTTAAACATACCACAGGAGAGTAGACACCGAGGAGAATATACTCCCAGATTCGACCTCCAGCGAAAGGAGCGAAGAAAGCATAGTACGCAACACTCAACAAGCAGAACACTGTAATCGCAACCACCTGAAATCACGAAGTCTCAATCAATCTCAAACGCAATTTCATAATCGCGAATTACTAAAACCCCAAATGCGTAATAGAGAGGACGAATCGCAATGTGAATCGAATCGCACCTGGAATTTGTGAGCAGGAAGTTGCCAACCGTGTTTCCTCACCATATTTTCCCCCCAAAAACTAATCGGAAAATCGAAGCGAAACCCTAACTTCAAAAGCTCTCACACGACGGCGCCGCCGCAAATTGTTGAATGAAAATTTGCTCGCCGGTACTCAAGACGCGGAAGGATATATGGGAAACCGATAGATGAAATATATGGTCTCTCTCTCTCTGACTTGCTATGGTAGGTCAGTCATAGTAAAGTGACGAAAGAGGAAAGTAGACTGGGAATTAAATGAGAAAAATAATAATAATAATAAATGCGAAAATTGGAGATGACCTAAGCAGCGATTTTCGAATTAGCTGCAAAGAGTGGAGATACTGTGCTAGAGTGAAGCGGAGATCAGAGGTTACTGAGAAATGAGAAGAAGAGTAGCCATGGCGGAGTCCAAAGTAGCTGGAGAAGAAGAAGGAGAGAAATGAAATTGAGAGGAAATTTAGAAGAGAGAAAAATGACAAAATAGAAAAGCGTTGACAGACTAAAAGCCAGAGACGGACAAATGAAAGTGGTTACAAAAGGTTTATTCTTTCGCTTACGTGTATTTTTCATCTCTTTGATATTTCTCTTTTTTTTTTTGCAAAAAATTGATAGATATTTCTCTTTTTTTCAGCGATATAATTACAAAACAGAAATAGAGAAAATTAATAGATTTTTCTAAACGGATAATACTTAGAGCTGTCAATATGGGCGTCTACGTCCATTTTGGCCCGTCCAATTTTGTCCATCTGTTTTGTGGACAAAAGATTGTCCATGTCCATTTAGGATCATGCCCATATTGGCCCATGCCTATTATAACTCATTTAAACTAGGCTGTATGCGGGCTGTTCATAGACAAAAAAATTCAAATTTTTGATCATACTTTTTTTTTTCTGAAAATCGATTTTTTTTTCTGCGCAGATTATGAAAAATAATTTTCCCCAAATCAATGTCTACTTTGACAGCTCTAATAATACTGATAGAGATTTTTTTATTTGGAGTCCATGAAATGCGAAAATTAGTTGTATAGACTAATTTTTCGGAACAAAAGTTTGCAAAACTAGCGTTCGAGATAGAAGTGGGATAGAGGAAAGATATATACAAATGATGAAAAATAAAATGTAAGGTTATTACAAAATACAAATTATTGTTCTTATGAAAATTTAGATTTAGTAAATAAATAAAAAGTACTAAACTATAAAAGACAACCAATAATTTATTGTCCCATCAGTTTATGTTTGATTCTAAAAGTTTATTTTCAACAGTAACAAATACTCCGATCAACTGTTAACATGATGTCTTTATCGAAAACAAAACTATTACTGAAGTATAAATTTATATGGTTTGGACGATTAATGTCGGGGGTAATTGTGTTTATCGAAGACTCGTTTTCTGGATCAAACAAAAGTATATCAGTAGCACTCACTAAAAGCGGAATAGAAGAAGGTTGGTTGCTCATTTCACCATTATCCACAAAGGCATGTGATGGACAAGTCATGCACTAATTTCGAAGTAGTAAAGAAGACATCATTGCACTAGCTTACTCAAGCATGCTTCTTTCGATAGCGTGTTCTAGTCAAGCCAACCACCTCGAACCTAACTCACATGTGGATCATCTTCTATGTAATTGAAACCAACAATTATCAACCCATCGATTTATATCAAACACTCTCATAAAATATCCAAACAAACACTAGCGAAACAACCATATAACAACTTTCACCTCCTCAAATTAGATTTTTTTGTTTTTGTTTTTCTTAATTGAAAGCCTTTGTTAAAAAAAAATAATGTCCTTTTAACTAGAAGCTCTTATTTTACTTACAAGTGACAAAGATCGAAGTAATAGAACCTTGAGTGTTGACTATTGACCGCGTCAAAAACATTTCCATTGAAGACCGGAAAATCCAAACGCGACGACGCGCCAAAAACGCCAGACGCGCCTTGAAAGAAAATCGCGTCGAGAACAAACGATGAGTCGAGTGATAAAAGGCGAGTAAGGGAATCCCCAATTTCCAAACAAAAAAAAACATCTCAAGATCCCTAAAAATTCCAAAAAAGGAACCCTAGTTTTTCTCTCCCTCACGCTCCTTGTTCCTCACTCGCTTTGCTTCCCCACTCGCCTTCTGTGTCCTCTGCTTCGTCTTCTCTACTTTGCTCCTCCCACGTGAGATTTTCCTTCTTTCTCTCCCTCTGTCGCTCTCTGGGTAGCCGAGAAAATGCAGGAAAGCCTGGGAATATCCAAAAGCTTAAATTCCTGAATTTCGCGGTTTCTCTCCATATGATACAAAAATTATGTGTCTTTTATACTTATACTAATGAAAGTAAGCTCCTTTATGCTCTACTACGAGAAAAAATCCCTTTTTTAGGAGAAATTTACTCACTTTTGGCTTAAAAATGAAACTTTTCTATTACTAGAAGTATATGTTGCTGAAATTCTGAAATTCCACACTTTCCTATTGCTATCTGTGTTTCAAAACTTCTTTTGGGTTGTGCGAATACAAACACTCTTCAAGTTTGATGCTTGTGGAATGGATAGATATCTCTTGTTCTTATGAAGTTTGATTGTGCCATTTTCAGGTGTGCTAATGTAAAACCATCCATTGGGAAAGATTTTAGTTTCCAATTTCATTGGTGCCTATGAGTGTGGTAGTTGCTAATGAGTGTGTTAGTGAATCCAAATGTAGTTGACTTCAAGATGGATTTGCAACAGAACAATAATAATAATCAGGTCAGTGATGCAGGGGATGAAACTATGGTCGACGTTGCGGTTGCATCGCATAACAATAACAGAGATGTAGGAATTGTTGTTGATGAGCTCAAAACAGGAGATCTTGGTTTCAGTGGTGATCTTGATCTTGAGCCAAGAAACGGTATTAACTTCGACACACACGAGGCAGCGTATTTGTTTTATCAAGAGTACGCGAAGTCGATGGGCTTCACTACCTCGATCAAGAACAGCAGACGGTCCAAGAAGACGAAAGATTTCATCGATGCCAAGTTTGCTTGCTCTAGATACGGTGTGACTCCTGAGTCAGAGAACGGTAGTGGTAGTAGTACTCGAAGGTCGAGTGTGAAGAAAACAGATTGCAAGGCGAGTATGCATGTTAAGAGAAGGCCTGATGGGAAGTGGATCATTCATGAGTTTGTCAAAGACCACAATCACGAGCTTCTTCCTGCTCTTGCTTACCATTTTCGGATACAGAGGAATGTCAAGTTAGCTGAGAAGAACAATATCGATATCTTGCATGCGGTTAGTGAACGGACTAGGAAAATGTATGTTGAGATGTCGAGACAGTCTGGTGGATATAAGAACTCCGGGCTTGTTCTTCAGAGCGATGTCAATAGTCAGGTTGATAAAGGTCGGTATTTGGCTTTGGAAGAAGGAGATTCTCAAGTGCTGCTTGAGTATTTTAAGCGTATCAAGAAGGAGAATCCCAAATTCTTTTACGCGGTAGACTTAAACGAGGAGCAACGGTTGAGGAATCTGTTTTGGGCTGATGCTAAGAGCAGAGATGATTACATGAGTTTCAATGATGTCGTCTCCTTTGATTCTACTTATGTCAAGTTTAATGATAAGTTGCCATTAGCTTTGTTTATTGGGGTGAATCATCACTCCCAACCTATGTTGCTTGGCTGTGCATTGGTTGCTGATGAGTCTAAGGAGACGTTTGTGTGGCTGATAAAGACTTGGCTTCGTGCAATGAGTGGTCGAGCTCCTAAAGTTTTACTCACTGATCAAGATAAACTCTTGATGGCCGCGGTTTCAGAGCTGTTGCCAAACACTCGTCATTGCTTTGCGTCGTGGCATGTGTTGGAGAAGATACCTGAGTATTTCTCCCAAGTGATGAAACGGCATGAGAATTTCTTGCGGAAGTTCAACAAGTGCATCTTCAGGTCTTGGACGAGTGAGCAGTTTGATATGAGGTGGTGGAAAATGGTGGGTCAGTTTGGACTTGAGGATGATGAATGGCTGCTTTGGCTGCATGAACATCGCCAAAGGTGGGTGCCGACTTTCATGAGTGACGTGTTTCTAGCTGGAATGTCGACATCTCCTCGTTCAGAGAGTGTGAACTCTTTCTTCGATAAGTACATCCACAAGAAGATCACGCTGAAGGAGTTCTTGAGAACTTACGGTGTGATTCTGCAGAACAGATACGAAGAGGAGTCTGTTGCAGATTTCGATACTTGCCACAAGCAACCTGCGTTGAAGTCTCCTTCGCCGTGGGAGAAGCAAATGGCAACAACGTACACACACACGATATTCAAGAAGTTTCAAGTCGAGGTGTTGGGGGTTGTGGCTTGCCATCCTAGAAAGGAGAAAGAAGATGAAAACATGGTGACGTTTAGAGTTCAAGACTGCGAGAAAGACGACGAGTTTCTTGTTACATGGAGCAAAACGAAGTCAGAGCTTTGCTGTTTCTGCCGTATGTTTGAGTACAAAGGGTTCCTCTGTCGACATGCTTTGATGATTCTTCAGATATGTGGTTTCGCCAGCATCCCGCCTCGGTATATTTTGAAAAGGTGGACAAAAGATGCTAAAAGTGGAGTATTGGTTGGTGAAGGAGCTAACCAGATACAGACTAGAGTTCAGCGTTATAACGATTTGTGTAGTCGAGCCATTGAGTTGAGTGAGGAAGGTTGTGTGTCAGAAGAAAACTACAACATCGTGTTGCGGACATTAGTTGAAACACTGAAGAATTGTGTCGATCTGAATAACTCCAGAAGCAACATCGCCGAGTCTAAGAGCCAGCTTAGCAATGGTGCTCACGAAGAAGAGAATCAGGCAATGGCTGGCGTAAAAGCAACAAAAAAGAAGACCGTTGTTAGGAAAAGAAAGGTGACACAACATACTTGTTGCTTTCTCAGTTTCAAAGGCTTCAAAGAAAATAATCAAAACTGGTCTTATGGCAGGGACAACAAGAGGCTGGCCAAATGCTTGAATCTCAACAGAGCTTGCAACCAATGGTTAGTGCTTTGATTTTTATCTTCTCTAATGAATTTGATCAATGTAAAGACGTGATTTCGATATGGCTCTGCGGTTTCTTTTACTGTTTATGCAGGAAAATATAAGTTCAGAGGGAATGAGCATCAGTGGTTACTATGGTCCTCAACAGAACGTTCAAGGATTGGTATGCTATGTTAGTTGAATGTTACAAGCCTGGCTATAAGCGATTTCGACATTATATATTAACACCTGTTTTTTAACTGTGGATATAGTTAAATTTAATGGAGCCACCTCATGAAGGCTACTATGTAAATCAACGAACCATCCAAGGCCTGGTGCGTTACAAGTTTTACATAGATGCTTGATTCAGAAAAAAAAAACAACATCTGTGCTAAGTTTAAGAATTGTTTATGTTAAAGTTTATTTTGCTTTCAGGGACAACTGAATTCAATAGCACCAGTGCAGGATAGCTTCTTCACGAATCAGCAAGCCATGCCCGGGCTGGTAACATTATACTACGTTACTTTATTAAACTCCTCAACCGAAATTGATTATAGAAGCATTTTATGATTATGAATGATCTTAGTGTAAAGTTCTTTGTTTGCTGTTGTCCTGCGCAGGGACAAATCGATTTCAGGCCTCCTCCAAATTTTACTTACAATTTACAGGTTGCTGCATGAATATAATTTTGAATGAGAAAAGGTATCTTCTTTGCACTGCTTTAGCCAACATGTTAATGTTGTTTTTTCTTTTCTTATCTTTAAGGATGAGCATTTGAGATCTGGACAAATGCCTGGTAGTTCCTCAAGACAGCTATAGTAGTATAGTAAGTCACGAAGTTTTGTCTCACGAAGCACTTTGCAAAGAAGCTGTTCAAAACACGAGAATACTCTAGATCCTCCACGGGTGACAAGATCTTTTAGATTGGTTTTGTGTATATTATATGAAAATGCCTTTGATGTATGAATATGGCTGAGATGTTGAGTATCTTGCTGAATTATTTGTGTTCTGTGTCATTACATAGAAACATCTTTAACACTTCAGTTTTGTGATCTAGAACAAAAAAAATAATAATTAGGCTAAATATCCCGGGAAAAAATAAATAATTGAAAATTGTGCTAAGTTTGGTTAGGTAGTTGAAGAAGAATAAAATAAAACAAAAATAGAGAGTTGGTGAAACGTCTAAAAAGAAGAAAAAACTAATTTGGACAAGCTAACTTGGTCGATTCTAGAAAGAAACAACATTTAGATGATAAATTCCCAGATTTTCAGACCGAACCGGATTCTATATTAGGTGAATCTTCTGACCAGACCGAAAAAATCTCAATTTGGATAGGTGCGTGGGACCCTTTTTAATACCGACAGGGAGAGACAAGATTCAAAGTCAGAAACACAAAACTTAAGACATTTGAAACAGAGACAAAAAAAAAAATCAAGGTTGACCCAAAAACAGAGAAAGATATTCAAATCAATGGAGAAAGTGAATCAAACATTCTATTTGTCCCATGGATCTCCGTCTTTGAGCATAGACGATAGCTTGGAGGCAAGACAATTCTTCAAATCATGGAAGACCACAGTTCTTCAACAGAGACCCAAATCGATCTTAGTCATCTCCGCTCATTGGGACACCAAATACCCATCCGTCAACACTGTTGAGCGCAATTCCACGATCCACGACTTTGGTGGTTTCCCTGAAGTCATGTACAAGGTCTCTCCTCTTTTCTTACAAAAGCCCCTCACTTTTGTCTTAATCCCCAATTCTCAATCTCATTGAATGATACATCAAATTTTCAAAACAAATTGGGGTCAATTGCATCAAAATTTACAACTTTCTATCCGTTTGAGTTTTTTCAGCTGAAATATGAAGCACCAGGAGCAACTGAATTGGCAAAGAGAGTTAAAGAATTGCTAATGGGAGAAGGAGGAATGAAACGTGTTGATGAAGATACAAAGAGAGGGCTTGATCATGGAGCTTGGGTTCCTTTAATGTTGATGTATCCTGAAGCAGACATACCGGTTTGTCAACTCTCTGTTCAATCATCCCAAAACGCGACTTACCATTACAACATGGGCAAAGCATTGGCTCCTTTGAAAGATGAAGGTGTTCTCATCGTTGGCTCTGGAAGTGCTACTCATAACCTGAGGAAGCTTGACTTTGGCATGGCCAATGGCTCACCTTGTTCCTTGGGCTTTGGAGTTTGATATTTGGCTTAGAGATTGTCTCTTGCAAGGAAGGTTAGAAAGAAGATAACAAACAATTTGCAACAACAATTTTTACAAATCATTTTTTGTTGCCTAACTTGTGGTTTTTCTTTGCAGGTATGGAGATGTGAATGAGTGGGAAGAGAAAGCTCCGAATGCGAGATTGGTGCATCCATCGCCTGAGCATTTTTTTCCTTTGCACGTTGCGTTGGGTGCAGCTGGTGTAGATGCAAAGGCAGAGCAAATCCATACAAGTTGGCAACTTGGTACTTTGTCTTATTCTTCTTACAGCTTCACTCCTTCCATTTGAAAACATTTATCTCCTTCACTTGTTGTCTCTTCCTTGTGTGTTTGTTTCATTTCCCTTATATATTATCCAAGTCATGTCTTGTATACAAATATAAACTCCTCACAATTTGTACTATAATGTATGAATAATGTCATGTGAGTTTGAATATTGTGTTCTTTGTAAAACGCATATGTATTTCAGTTTATCTATGTATTACTTTTGCGCTGTTCATCATTTGCACTTTCAAATTCGAAGAATGTGTTGTTTTCATTTTGGCATGAATTGTTACAGGGAAATTTCAAAACTACTCTTTTTTGGGTGTACAATTCTAAAACTACACTTCTAGAGTATGTTTTCAAAACTACACTTCTTCATTAAGTAAATAACTCTAAATCCAATATATAACTCTAAACCCTAAAATCAAACTTTAAACCCATAAATTTAAACTCTAAACCTCGAAATCTAAACTCTAGTTAGAAATTAGTGACGAAGTGTTAATTTTTGGAAAAGTGTAGTTTTGAAAATTAATACAGGTGTAGTTTTCAAAATTAATACCTAAAATGTGTAGTTTTGAAATTTAACACTTCAAGAAATGTATTTCTTAAAATTGTAAAAGGTGTAGTTCCACAACACCATAAGATATATGATCTATTTAGCTAATTTTCCGTTGCATTTTTGTAATCTCAAATTTTTCAGATTTACACTTACAACTATTTCTTAATTAAAATGAGAACAGATATTTAGTAATTTAAGCTTGTATTCAAAATTAAATGAGAACAGAAAGAAAATTGATAATTTTAGAAAGAAAAAAGAGAAAATTTAAGAAATACACCTCTTGAGGTGTAAATTTTCAAAATTACACATTTAGTGTGACAATTTTCAAAAATAATATTTTTCCTAATTTTAATATACATATGTTTGGGTTCATTAATCCTTGATTAATGTTAAATTTTTGGTTTTATGGTTTAAATTTAAGGGTTAAAGGTTAGATTTTAAGGTTGAAGGTTTATATTTTAGCGTTTATAGTTCTTTTAATCAATGAAATGGTAGTTTTGAAAATGGACACCATAAAAATGTATTTTTGGAAATTGGCATCTGAAAAGGTGTAATTTTGAAATTTTCTCAAGAAAAAAAAAAGAAACTTACATAACTATAGCTTAAAATAAAAAACAAAAAGGTGTTGTGCATTCTCCAATGGTTAAAGAACTTTCCACTATGCCGTTGATTTGGTTTGTGAGGGCTCACTGGCTCAGAGTTTTGTCACAGACGGAAAAGTTTCAGTACTCGCAACTGGGTATAGCTTAAGCGCACTGAAATAACCCATCAAGAGAGCTTGGAGGCCATGGTAACATACATTATTGGTAAGTGTTTTGAGTGCTTTGTGGAGCAATTTTTTTTTCTAGAGCACTAGTGTTAAACTAATCAAACTTTGATTTCATTTCTAAGTTCAGAGCCATATGGCATGATTGGTAAGTGCTATGCGGAGCAATCATTTTTTTTAGAGCATTAATGTTAAACCAAATCAAGCTTTGCTTTCATTTTTTAAGTTCAGAGCCATAATTTTAAATATGGAAATATTTTGGCTCTCCAGAGCAGATTTTTCAGAGCAGAAATTTAAGGACTCTGAGAATTCTCTCTCTTCTCATTCCTTAATCTCATTCTCTATATTCATTTTTTAATGTTTCTTTCCTATCTCTTTTATTTATTTTTAATGTTACATTTATGATTTTTTATAATAATTTTATTTATAATAAAAATTCTACAGCACTAAAATCTACAGCCACATCAAAAAAATATTCAGCCTAAATTCTATAGCAAAAAAAATAAAGCTACAGCTACAACCAATCAGGCCCATAATTTTAAATATGAAAATATTTTGGCTCTGCAGAGCAGATTTTTCATAGCACAAATTTAAAGACTCTGAGAATTCTCTCTCTTCTCATTCCTTATTCTCATTCTCTATATTTCTTTTTAATGTTTCTTTCCTATATCTCTTTTAATTATTTTTAATGCTACATTTATGATATTTTATAAAAAAGTATTTATAATAAAAAATTTACAGCACTAAAATCTACAGCCTAAATTCTACAGCAAAAAATCAAAAGCTACACACGCAACCAATCAGGCCCATACTCTAAACAGTAAAATAAAAACTTAATTCTTCTTTTTTTGGTCAAACTTCCAAGATACAAGTAGAGAGTATATATATATAGGTTAGTTTTCCTCTTTTATGGGTGATGTCTTGCGTTTTTGATGCATTCTAACATTTGTTTTCACGAGTTTTATCGAGTCTTTCTAGTCTTTATCGAGTCTTTTCAAGTCTAAAGACGTTCAAGGTGGAGTTTCTATCACAAGGGGTAACAAGAAGTCATAACGAGCGAATGGAGCAGAAAGGAGAACGAAGTCAGCAAAGACCGATCGAATCCCGCAAGGAGGTCGATCGAACCTTCAGATGCTCCAGCAGATCGATCGAGTCACCTGCGCCCTATGTTCAAAATATCGGCGATAAGTGACGATAAACCCCCCGTTTATCCTATATCGGGAGGGAACCGTAGCAATACGGTAAAATCAGTGTCAAAAATCGGTTAACCGTGGTTTGACCGGTTTAACCGCAAAATTCCGATAAACGTCCAAGAAATTGTAAAATCGTTTGGGCCAGATTTTTTGAATTTGATATTGAGAGCCTATATTTTTAGAAATTGAGCCTACATTATCTATTACCATTTTTTATATATTTTTGTATGCTTTAATATGATCAAAATAATATCTCTTTTGTAATATTTGTGGATGAAAGTATTATTTTTTGTATTAGAAATGTTTGTAAATTGAGAAAAATCAAAAAAATTAAGAGTTTTGTATTATCTTTTGTATTATTAATGTTTTATATAGTTATAATATTTAAAATAAACATAAAATTTCACCCCGATTAATCCCCGAATTATTAGCAGTTTTTAAAAAAATCGCTTATCGCTACCTAACCAAACGGTAAGCGAGAAGCGAGATTTTGAACATAGCCTGCGCCACAATAGGTCGATTGAGTCCCCTGCGCGAACGTAGGTCGATCGATCCCAACATCTCAGTGCAGCTCGATCGACTTCTCATGCATGCTATGCATCGATCGATTTCAGCCGTCCGATCCAACATGCTCATATTATATCACAACCGTTTGATTGAACCGAAGCAAACCGGATTGAACCGAGCTCGACCCCTGGAACTATTTAGACCTACTTTATGCCATTGTTTTGGCTACGCTGTTTTTGGAGTTTTTCGTTGTTTTCAGAGGGAGATGATTTCGAACCTTTTGTAACATAGTTTGGAGAAGATTTCTGAACCCTCTTGTTTTACTGTTATCTTATTTCTATTCAATTTGATGAATTCAGTTTCAACTATTGCTGTTAATTGTTTCGTCATGTCTGAGTAGTCCCCTTACTGATCTAGGTTTTTCAAAGGAGTTCATGTGTTAGCTAAACTGAATATAAATAGGGCTTCATCTATTGTCTTTGCAATTGTTGAGTTTAATGCCTAGATTGAAAAGATCACTTAATCTCTAATCATCAAAAGTGTAATAGGTTGCTAGAACAAACAATTGTGAGCAAATCGTCCTTAGCCTGCGAAGGTTGATGCTGAGGCGATCTGTGAACATATCGAACCTGTCTATATTGCTTGTTTTCAATTGCTAGATTAAAACGACAGTTTAGACATCTAGGTTGCTAGGCAAGTTGTTAAGATCGCGACAGCGGATTAACATACTTTTATGTTTGAGTTCGAGACATGCTTTTAATCTGTGCCCTGAATAGTTGTTTGGTTGTTAACCATGAACCTCTGCGAATTGCCTTGATCTATGCTTGTTTTTATTGAGTTTGCATCGTCGTTTAAATTCGTTATCTGTTACCAAATCAAATCATTCTTGTCTTAGCTCTGTTTTAAATCTCTTAGATTCATAGCGTAACACTGGTCCTCTGGATTTCGAATCCTTTATATTACATCATCATCATTGTACATTTGCAGTAGACAAAATGATCTATTTTTAGATTATCAATGGGCGCACCACGTCAGGAAACACCTACCTTTAGAACGCGACACGTCAGACTTACTTTTCCAAGTCTCTTTTAAACTTCTAATTTATTATATTTTATCATTTAATAGTAATAAAAAAATGAACGTGATGAAACATGATGGGACGAGGGGAATGAAACGAGAACAAAGAAGACGAGGTATAACAGAAAGGAAATGAACATGACAAAGTAGAACGGGATTGGAATAAATGGGACAAGGCGAAAGGAGACGAGAAGAAATAAGACAAGGTATAAAAGAAAGGAAATGAACATGACAAAGCAGAACGGGATGGGAATCATGAATGGGACGAGCAGAGCGAAACGAGAAGAGAGAAGACAGGTATAACGGAAAGGAAATATGAACATGATGAAGCAGAACGGGATGGGAATGAATGGGACAAGGTGGACCGAGACGAGGTATAACACAAAGGAAATGAACATGACAAAGTAGAACGGGATGGGAATCAATGGGACGAGGCGGAAGGAGACAAGAAGAAACAGGACGAGGCATAACAGAAAGAAAATGAATGGACGAGGCAAAACGGGATGAAAATGAATGAGACTATGCAAAACGGGATGAGAATGAATGGGACAGAGCGGAACGAGACGGGAAGAAACAAGACGAGGTAGAATGAAAAAGAAATGAACGGAGCAAAATGGGATGTGAATGGGACAGAGTGGAACGAGACGTGAAGAAACATAGCGAAATGGAACGAGACCAAAATAATGTCCAACCCTAATTTTATTTAATGAAACGAGACAAGAATTATGCTTATCCTTTCTATTTATTTACTATGTTTACACTTTGGAAATTAACACATCAACACAAATATTTAATTTATTATAAATATATTTTTTATTTATGTCATAATTATCATTCATTACAAAATAATTTAACTAAAAATTTGAAAAGTCATTTTATAAAAAAAAACTTATGTATAGATCTATAAAAAGTATTATTTAATAGCTTTAGTTATGTGAGATTATATAGTTTACCTTCAAATAAATATATTAATGATAGAGGAAATTGGTGGTACAATAATTTTGCCTATTCTAACTATTTTAGGGACATACCGGAAAGAAAAAGAAGGAATATGACGGAACAAGACGGGAAGGAACGAAATGGGATAGGACAAGACGGGAAAACAAAATGGGATATGATGAAACTGAAAGGGATATTGACAACTTTCTCTCCCCTTGCTTTTCCACGACCATTTATTTAAACAATCAATACAATACCACCATAATTACAAAATTCAATTATAAGAACCCTTAAATTGTCCAAACATAAATATCACCCTTAATTAACACACATAAGCCAAATTTATTTTATTTTATTTTTATATTTTAATTTAAACCTAAAATTTTTTAATTAATATGTGTATAATATTTTTGAAACAATCATAAATCATAAACTAATTTAGATTTGCGAAAAGCGGGTCACCCCTAGTCTTATATTCCTTTTGTTTCTTAAAGATAATTTTTCTAACTTTTTCTCACCTATTAAGAAAAAGCTGATTTTCAATCATTAATGTATTGATTTTTGCAATAAAACAGTTTCCAATAACTTTAAACCAATAATGTCCTGCAAACACAAATAATGTTTATTGAAATATGAAAAAGTGCACTAAAAAGTTAGAACATTTATCTTTATGAAACAACAAATAATGTCTAGAAAATTCATTATTTATGAACAGAGGGAGTATATAATAGGAGAGTTTTCTCTTCTCTAAAGCTACTTAGTCTAATTTTATGGATATTATGGATCTCACATTTAGTTACAAATTAAATAAAATAGAAAAAAATAAGAAATGATAAATTTTAAAACTAAAATTACTGAATCAATTAATTTACATTTTTCTATTATTATAGTTTCTTAAGATATAATATATTATTTACCAAAAAGCCTAAAATATATTTTACAAAATAAAATAATGAAAACAATCAACTTAGAAAAAAAAAATAGATATTAGATGAATATAAAATTTAAAAAAATATTTTTCACATAACCTGAAAATTCAAAATACATAACGATAACTATAAATAAGAAAAATAAGAACATGTTTGATAAATAAAGCAGCATATATTTTCTAAAATTACAAATTAATAAGGATATAAAAATTTTTAAGACTTAAATCGTTATTTTTTAACTCTCATATCATCAATGCATAAAGATGAAATATAAAGTATATAGTTTTTTTAACTAGATAGATCGAGAATCAATTTACTATAGTGTATTATATGTAATTGAAGAAAAGATGAAAGTACAAAAACATGATATGAAAGCTGTGAAATGTTAGAGACAAAAATATAAACATTGTCAAAGATATATGGGGAACAGCAAAGAGCACAGGTTAAAAAGTGATTGAGGGGATGATTGAACATAACTCAGGATAATATTAATAAGAATTTTGACGACGAGTTATTAGACCATCTCCAACCCCTCATGCCATATGTTATTGCAAATGGCAAAAATATAGCAATAGCATTGGGTTTCTCTCCAACCCCTCATGCCATATATCATGCTATAATTTTTTTCCAACTTATTATTAATTGTTAAAACTACTTGATTTCTTCAAATTTTACAAAGTGAATCATTTGTTTTTCTTTTTTTGCAAAAACAACCAGAATTATATTTTTTTTTATTATAATATTAAAACAAAATACATCATATTACATAAAAATTATAGAAAACAAAGATTTTAACCTATTGTTTTATGTTTTTTGAATTTCAGTATTTTTAAAAATAAAATTTGAAGTTTATTATGGTTATGTTTTTATATTTCTATGAAATAAATATTATTTATATTTTGAAAAAGTTATGAGTATTGTTTAACCCCTCATGCCATATATCATGCTATAATTTTTTTCCAACTTATTATTAATTGTTAAAACTACTTGATTTCTTCAAATTTTACAAAGTGAATCATTTGTTTTTCTTTTTTTGCAAAAACAACCAGAATTATATTTTTTATTTTTTATTATTATAATATTAAAACAAAATACATCATATTACATAAAAATTATAGAAAACAAAGATTTTAACCTATTGTTTTATGTTTTTTGAATTTCAGTATTTTTAAAAATAAAATTTGAAGTTTATTATGGTTATGTTTTTATATTTCTATGAAATAAATATTATTTATATTTTGAAAAAGTTATGAGTATTGTTTATTTATTTAAATAAATCATAATCAATATAATTAAACTGTTAAATTAAAAGTAATTACAAATTGAAGGACTATTTTATAAATAAAAAAGTTCAATGGCAAAATAGCATATTGCATAATCTCATGCCAAATATAGAAGCAAAAATAGCATGATGCTATTTTGCAATAGCATATGCAATTGGGTTGGAGCAAAAATTATGGCAAAATAGCATATATGTCATATTTAGCATGGGGTTGGAGATGCTCTTAGAAAATAAGAAGGTCAATAGTAGTTAGAGGAAGTTCTACGTTCACTAAATTACGAAAATAATAATTCATAGAAAAACTAACAAATTATAGAAATTGTTGTTGAATCTTGAAAAAAATCTTATCTAAAACATTTTAAATAAACACAACGACATCATCTATTACAAAACTTCAGTATGATATAAAATAAAAATAAAAAAAAACAATAGAAACACATTTTTAAAAATGTATAAATGATGATTAACTGATAAAGAACCATTCATGCATAGTCTCTAGTCTCTAGTATTCTTAATTAAATATCACTATTAGGCCGACAAAAAAAATATGACTAATTAGTTAAGGGCATCTCTATCGGAAAGCTCGCCAGATTTATTAAATAGAATTACCTCTTAAACTTAAAGAGTAAACTTTTGGAATCATCTGATTCAACAGATTATTTATTTTTTTTTTTAACAAAAATAGCTTTTTCTTCTCAAAAATCGTTTTTATTTTAAAAATATTAAAGAGCCTCATATTCCACTCAGCGATGCGGCGGTGCAACATAAATAAATTCAAACAAATTGGAGAAGCGTGATCTGATTTGATTCGAAGATGAGCACCCACGTGTTTTTGGCGTCTTCCTAGAAGGCTAGAAGGTTAAAATCACAATAATACATGTACAGAAACCAAACCCACACATAGTTTTTTTTAAAAAACAAAAACCCCACGCATAGTTGAAACTTTAATAATCTAGTGTGTGTTTTTGATTAATTAACAAAGCTCTTGTGTTTCACTCTCAATCTTCATCTTTTTATTTCTATTCGTATCTTCTGTTTAAGAGATAAAGAATCATGCGTCCGCGTTACACTGCGTTTACGGTTGGGCTTGGATCTTTGACGCGGCTCCACCACCGCAGATTCTTGACTGCACCAAACCCAAGTGAGGACTTTGATTTCATCCTCTACGTGGCCAATAAGACTAAATCAATCAACAAGGCACTAAACGACTTTGTTCCACTCTGTACTCACCCATTACTACACAAGATCCGCGAGGCAATGAGATACTCGCTGCTCTCTAACGGCAAACGTGTCAGGCCAGTGCTCTGCCTCGCAGCCTGCGAGCTCGTTGGTGGCCGCGAGTCGGTCGCTATGCCCACGGCGTGTGCGGTTGAGATGATCCACGCGTCCTCTCTCATCCAAGACGATCTCCCTTGTATGGATGATGACAACTTTCGCCGCGGAAAACCAACAAACCATAAAGTGTTTGGCGAGAATATAGCCGTCTTAGCCGCCGATGCGCTCATAGCTTTGGCCGTCAAGGAGACGGCGACGCCAGTCTCCTCGGGCGTTCCTCCAGAGAGGCATCTCAGAGCCATTCTGGAGTTGGCGAGAGCTGTTGGGACCGAAGGGCTCGTTGGGGGTCAAGCGGCGGATTTGGCTGGAGAAGGGATAAGCTTTGAAAATGGCATCGGTTTAGATCACCTTGAGTTTATTCACATTCATAAAACAGCGGTGTTGCTTGAAGCTGCGGTGGTTACAGGAGCCATAATAGGAGGTGGGACTGATGAAGAGATCGAGAGGCTTAGGAGATACGCGAGATGTGTTGGGTTGATGTTTCAGGTTGTGGATGATGTGCTTGATGTGACCAAGTCGTCGGAGGAGCTTGGGAAAACAGCCGGAAAAGATTTGATCGCCGGAAAACTGACATATCCAAAGGTGATGGGAGTGGAGAAGTCTAGGGAATATGCAAAGAGCTTAAATAAAGAAGCACGGGGATATCTTCACGGGTTTGAGTCAGACAAGGTGGCTCCATTATTGTTCTTCGCTGACTACATCGTCAACAGACAAAACTGACGCGACGTATTGCTAGTGCTTGCTGCTTGCCTCGGTGACGACGTTGGAGAAAAGGAGTTGTGGTTGCGCGGGAGAAGAATTGCAATACAGCTGCTGACGTGGGAAGTAAATACAATGACGTGGAAAATGAAGATTGAAGAGAGAAGCTAGTATCATCTTGCATAGAAAAGTCTAGAGTTACACTGTTGAGGGGGTTAGATGATCCTGAGAGATAGTTATTGAATAATCTGTTTGTTTCATTGTTTGTAGAAGAAACGAATGCATTGAAATGTTGAATTTTCTTTTCCATGTCTTGATTAATGACATGCGCAAGATAGCGTATGAATAATGGGATTCCTCTTGTGAACACTTAATTAATTCCATTAACTAAACTTAAACCGCCTGATTAAATTGACGATTCCAGTGTTATTCGAGTATATATTTTTTCAATATTTTTAAATTCCGGTGTTATTCGGTGAAGGATTTGTAGTCATTCTATTCAATTCCTTTAAATTCCGGTGTTATTCAACGTATTAGTTTTTCAATTCCATTAAATTCCGGTGTTATTCGATATCAAGATGTATTTGGTGGTATTGTCATTTGGAAGGAATTTAATAGAATTTGAAGAAAATTTTGTAAAGGTTCAATTCTTCCAATTTTTGCAGTCATTTCAATAGAATTGATTTAATTCTCCAAAAATACTTTAAAATACTTCAAAATTCATTACTTTTTAATGCTTTTCAATTCTTTGTAAATCTACCCACCAATACCCCCTTTAATGTCTGCTCGATAGATAGTGATTTCTTAAACACCACTTTTAAGTTTTAACTTACTCTTACAAATTCATTGAACGTTCTATTAACAGCATATTAGAAACTTCCCAACAACAATTAGTCAATACTGTCTAAAGTTTCATTGACAATGTATTTATTTTAAAAAAAAAACGTAACAGTGAATGTGTGAACCCCTTTTTCTATAATTAGTAGTTTTTTTTTGACATCAAATATATCACTTTGTCACATTATAAACAAAAAGATTCAATCCCAGAAAAAGTATGAAATTCACTTTTCTCTCCAAAATGCTATTTCAATTGGCATTGTATTATTCTCTTTCTTTATTCTTTTTAGGTTCTGGCCAACAGTTATCATAAACTGCTACTATTCCAGCACTTACCTTTCATTTGGGTGTATAATTTTTAGTCCGAAACTTCTCATTTACGTAATTTCTCGTCCCGTTATCATAACAAAATACTTTAAGTACTAATTTGGACAAGCTAACTTGCACCAAAGTTTACAACTTTTAAGGGTCAATTGTCAAAAGTTTACAACTTTTTCTATCCATTGAGTTTGCAGCTGAAATATGAAGCACCAGGAGCAACTGAATTGGCAAAGAGAGTTAAAGAATTGCTAATGGGAGAAGGAGGAATGAAACGTGTTGATGAAGATACAAAGAGAGGGCTTGATCATGGAGCTTGGGTTCCTTTAATGTTGATGTATCCTGAAGCAGACATACCGGTTTGTCAACTCTCTGTTCAATCATCCCAAAACGCGACTTACCATTACAACATGGGCAAAGCATTGGCTCCTTTGAAAGATGAAGGTGTTCTCATCGTTGGCTCTGGAAGTGCTACTCATAACCTGAGGAAGCTTGACTTTGGCATGGCCAATGGACCTGTTCCTTGGGCTTTGGAGTTTGATATTTGGCTTAGAGATTGTCTCTTGCAAGGAAGGTTAGAAAGAAGATAACAAACAATTTGCAACAAAATTTTTACAAATCATTTTTTGTTGCTTAGTAGATTGAATATCTTGTGTTTTTCTTTGCAGGTATGGAGATGTGAATGAGTGGGAAGAGAAAGCTCCGAATGCGAGATTGGTGCATCCATCGCCTGAGCATTTTTTTCCTTTACGTTGCGTTGGGTGCAGCTGGTGTAGATGCAAAGGCAGAGCAAATCCATACAAGTTGGCAACTTGGTACTTTGTCTTATTCTTCTTACAGCTTCACTCCTTCTTCCATTTGAAAACATTTATCTCCTTCACTTGTTGTCTCTTCCTTGTGTGTTTGTTTCATTTCCCTTTATATTATCCAAGTCATGTCTTGTATACAAATATAAACTCCACAATTTGTACTATAATGTATGAATAATGTCATGTGAGTTTGAATATTGTGTTCTTTGTAAAACGCATATGTATTTCAGTTTATCTCTGTATTAGCTTTGTGTTGTTCATCATTTGCACTTTCAAAATCTGAAGCATAATGCAATTCATTTTCATTTACATTCTGCTTTCCTTAAAGTTAAAGAGTTTCGTTTCTTCACCAATACGTAAAACCAAAAGATGAAGCTATTTTAGCCTCTTCTGTTTCGCTTTGATCTTTTCTTTAGTTTGCACCATATACAGTAAATTATATAATCTAACAAAAATAAATTTACTAAATAATAGTTTTTGTAGATTATACATAATCTTTCTCCTTTTTAAAAAAATGACTTTTCATATTCTTGTTAAACTTATTATAGTAATGAATGTTAATTATTATGAAATTAAAATATTAAAAAAATAATAATAATAAAGTGCTAACGTGGCGAATTGGAGAATTTAGAAGCAACCGGAAGAGAAGAACATGAACTATATATATATATATATATATATAGATAGATAGATTAGAGAGTTGCTCTCTCTTCTAAGAGTGTCCACATCAGCAAGAGAGAATTTAAAAACATTTAAATTAAACTTAATGTATTAATTAATTTATACATCCTCATATTATTATCTTTTTACTAAAATAAATTTATGATTTACCAAAAATCATTGAAAAGAAACATAAATAAAGATATAGCACAAGTAAATATAAACTAAAAAATAATAATTAGAGATTAGATAAATATATTAGAAGAAAAAACTTTCTTCACATGACGCTAAAATATATACCATGTTTAAAATAGTCAATGACTCAACATTTATTTTGAAGATTTAAAAATTAATAAGGATAGAGAAATTTATAAGTTATTTGTTAGGTATATGCAAAATTCTAACAAGTTTTTGGCATAAATAAAAAGACTATTTTTTGAAGATAAAATACATACAAATTTTAGAATGTATTTGATTCACAATTAACATATTTTATTTATAAAATTGTTAAAAATTATCAACTGAATATTTTTAAAAACTTTGAAGTCAAGTATATACTGCTAATCAAAGAAAAAAATAATTATAAAGATTAAAATAATAATAATCAAATAGTTCAGAAGTATGTTGAAAATCAATATGCAACACAATGTGTTACATGTGAACAAAGAGAAATGGGAAGTATAGTACATGAGATGGAGATAAAGGAGTCAATCTTGAAAGATGAAATAAATGAATGAAAATGAAAAAATATATTAGACAATCTGCAATCTTCAACTAGACTAATGTCCGCGCATACGTGCAGGTTTTCTTATTGTTATAGTTTAAGAAAAATGTTACTCAAATAATCCAAATAACACCCGTATTTTAATTCTTATTTGCTTGGAGTATAAAACAATTATAGATTTGTGATTAATCTTTTAACCCAAATAACACCATATTTCTTATTTGCTTCATTAGACTTTCAAATATATAGTTTTGCATAATACCACATGTTTTTATACCCTTGACACTCTTTATTTATTCACCACTACGTGGAACACACTCTGCTTCTCTGCCATTTTTTTTTTCTGAATCCAATTCTCTGTATATTAAGAGAACTTAAATGTTTAATAGTGATTCAAGATTGATGACGAAGATAATAATTTTAAAGTGATATAATAGTTTTCTTTATTTTATAAGTTACAATGGACATAAAAGAAAACCAAAAGTTGCATTGAAGTTCCATTAAACTTTTGGATATTTTTTTTAAAGTGAAAATTATAGGAAAATATATTTTGTAAGTTACAATAAGCACAAAAGAAGACCAAAAGTTGCATTAATGTTATATTAAACTTTTGGATTTTTGTTTTTTTAAATAAAAATTATATAACATGTGTCATTTTCTCTGTATCCATGTGTCAACAATATGGAGAGGATTGGCCTCTTTTCATATATATGATTATTGAGTTTATATAAATGTATACACATGAGTAAAAGTAAATATTTTCAAACATTTTCCAATGGATGGATTAAATGAATGAGTTCAAATAAATATATAATACGCATAAATGGATCGGGTTATCGCATTCAAACTAGACTTACAGATTTGCCACATCAATGTCTTAGATGAGATGAGATTAACACATTTATGCTAGTTACTAAAACTGTTTCTTCAAAAGTCTCTCAAACAAGTTTTTCTTATCATGTGGTATCTAAAATTTTATGTTTATTACCTGGTTAATGAAATTTATGTTTAAACTGATTTTGATACAGATTTTCTGTGGAAATTATAATAATTTTTCTTATACTAGGAGAGAACCCGCGCAATGTGCGGGTTTATATATTAATAGTATTTTATTATTTGCTTTTTCATATTCTTTATTTTATGGTTTTCTATTAGGTTGTGAGTATTGTATCTTCTAAGTACATACATTTGCGATAATGAAACGGATAAAACCTTTACACATGCCCATACATCTAGCGCGGGATCAAAACCAACCCATAAAATAAAATCCCTATTCACTGAAAGAGACGGCTTCGTACTCTAGCTTCTCAGAAACTTAACTGTGGGCAACTCTACAAAAAGAAGAATTCGAAATGAAAATGAATCAGCCGAGATGTAAAAAATGACCTGATCCTTCACTCTTCAGGCTTGATTCTCCCTCGTCTAAAATTCTAACACAGATTTATTTATTTTTTAAACAGGGGAAGAAACTGCGTAGAGTGGAATTTGTATGTAAAAAACAATTATATTAAATATTTTCATTTCAAATATGTTTATATTTTATATCGTTATTGATTATTAGTTTAAGGGATGATTTGTTTCTTTATAATTATTTCATAAATTCGTACAACATTTATTATTTAAAGACGCTTAAAGTAATTTGTATACAGTTTAACCAAAAAAATGAAGGTATGTCAATTTGTATTCTCGTGTCATTAAACTTTTAGTGAAACCATTATTTATCTTTTTTTTCCCTAAAAATTTTCTATTGGAAAAACTATAACTTCTGGCGGTTATCAGTTGGTGAAAAATGAAAAGCCAAAAATATCAGAAAAAATTGTGTCTTCCACAAAGGAATCTGACAAGTGAGATTGGAGTAAGAAAGAGTTGAACTATGAAAATAGATGGGGAGTGCCTCTCAATGTTGATTGTCTCTTTGAAGCATTGTTATTTTGGTTTCTCGATTTTTTTTTGTCACCCTTCATATAAGGTGACGACGACTAATTCATTTCCTCTATTTTATAATTTATAGATCTTACATTGTACTATGTTAGTTGATTTTTATTTATCTATAAAGTCTTACTTTAGTTTGTACGTGTTGTGTTGTTGTCTAAATTTAAACGTTTCGTTGTACTTTGTTTCCTTCATAAATGTTGGGGAAATAAAATCATTATTGGATTAAAACATTTAAAGTGAAGCAAAATGTTTCATTTACAACCTGGATTTGGTGCCGTGAATGGTTATTATGTTTAATCCAAAGTGTAAAAACGGTAAGAGAGAAGTTCTAAACTGAGACTGTCAGTGTTATGTATTTTTCCCTCCGCTAATTTGAATTTTCTGTTTCGTTTTCGTAAGTTCGCGTTCAAACTGTATGTCATATGTGGCTTCGCTTATATGAATAATATATAAGAGCATTCTCAGTTGTCAAAATAATATATAAGAGCATTCTCAGTTGGTATCTATGGATATCTCAACACATAAATTTCATGAAACATCATTTTCCTAATTTTGTTAGTTTTACGAACACTGTTGTATCCTTTTTTCGCAGATTTTTTTCAATATTTCTCTTCAACGTTAAACACCTAAAGTTTGGTCGAATTCGATGAATGTAAATTTTGAATTTTATTAGAAGCCTGAGTAGCTACATTGAGTCAACATGTTTATGAAATACAGGTTCAGTATACGATGGCTTCAACTGGTAACCAAGGAATGAGGGGGGAATAAATAAGTTCCCTCTCATTCCTTAAGAATTATACCATTCATAAGGAATGTGTATCTTATATTATTCCCTTTCATTCTATATTAATTAAAGACTTTTAGTGTTAAAATATTCCTTATCAAAAAAACTGCAGGAATAAGTTCCCTAAATTTTATTCCTCTTCATTCCTTCCATTCTCATTCCTTTTGTTCCTTTAAAGCTCACCAGTTAGAGCCGATGTTTCTGTAAAAGTCTGAAATGAGACCTTAAAATTTAGGAAATTCCAAAGTTTGCTTGTATTAATAAATATCTGTACAGTAAAAAGAACTATTGTAAATTGACACAAGTTAATCTAGCAAGAACACAAATACGATTCCTATCCGATCAAACTCTCTTCCCGACTCGACTGTTCTGAGAGCGATGTTATGTCCGTCTTCGAGCTAATCAGATGATTTTAAATGTTGATTAACGTGCTGAAGATGATTCAGACCAAATGTGACCACTCATGTCTTTGGTTTTCGTTATTCCCTCTTTTTTGATAGGGATCTGGTGTACTTTGTACTCTTGTTCATCGGTTTAGGAACTGCCATTAACCGGAAGCATCTCGCGTAAGCATTTGAGTGCTGAATAGAATAAAGACTGCAAATGCATTCCAAAGAGAAAGTCTCACAAACATATATATATGTATCAATGATGTTCAAATGGATAAACAGAAGAAGAAACGTACCTGGATTTCGAGAGGGTGGCCATGGATACCCATTCGACAATCAACCATACAAGAACCGCCGGTCACGAGAAGCGTTGGAAACATATCGAATCCATCTGCTAAACACAAGTTCATGATGAGCTTTATCCCTGTTTGAACATCTATCCTTTCTTGTAATGAGAAATCTTCTGTTAGCATTCCATATGCTCTTAAGAGGATAATCCACCACAAAGCTGTAAATGGTGATGGAAACAATCAGTCACAGTGACACTCTAAAAGAATAGTGAAATCACATATGCAAGTTATAGCTTAAAGAAGAGAATCTACTGACAAGAACCCACAGGAGCTACACGGCCAATCGCTGATTCACCAAAATCTGGATCTAAAACCTCTTCCGTAGTGTTCTCATCAAGAGCCACGGTTCTGATTTTTAAACTCGCAGGCATCAAGCCCTGTCCTGGACTGTAACAGTCTACAGTTTTCTCCCAGCTCTTTCAAAGCAAACAAAGATTTATCATTGATAAACCATACCACTCGTAACAAATACATTTATTCCATACAATCTACCAAAATTCTCGCAATATATTTTCTTAAACACGGGATCACTAACAGACCACAATGCAGATGTAACCGATGATAAAATAACCCTCCACCCCAAAATTAGTTCATTTAAACCATAGAAATCTAATCATTATACAGTTTAAAACTTTAAATTTTCAGAATCTAGATCTCTTTTAGAACATCAATTAGACATTCACATTCAAAATGCTCCAAGTATGATTGCATTTATGCCAAGTTAGTCGTTTCAAAACATAGAAACAATAACCACTATACATTCAAAATGTTCAAAATCTATCTCTTTTAGAACATCAATGAGACATTCGAATTCACTCAGGAACATCAATGAAGTATAATAGATCATAATTCCCTAGAAAACAGAGTAGGTCGGTTGGGTCCATAAGGAATGATGCTAAAATCGGAATTCAGTTTGCAAGTTTGTTTAGTATTTTATAATTATGTTGGTAGACGAAGAGTAAGTTGCAATTGGATTTTAGCCATAAAGGAATGATCTGAAGTTACCTTTGTTGTTCCAATAGTTATATAGGGAACCCAAAGATTGTAGAATACTTCATATAGGTTGGGAAAAACCTGGGACAATAAGAAATATAAGATATTAGTAATCTTTTCAATCACAGGCGTAGATGAAACTTACTAAACCAAAAAAAGCTACTAAGGATATTTAGTTTGAAGAAATGCAAGAGCAAAGTACATCTCTTATTACCTTCCTGAACATGTGAAGTCAAGTGACGCAGAGTCTGACGTGTAGTTTAGCATACTCGGTATCCGGCAACCTAAATTAGGACTCCATCCCTGTCGAGAGCTTCTGATCCTCGTTAAGGCAATCTTGTTGGTCAATCTACTAATCTGTTTTCATATACGTTGAAGATAACGAATGGCCAAACAATGCAGAGGAGGTAGTAAACATATATAATATAGTTAGTTTGGTGAGGACCAAGGAAAGCATTAGCACGCAAAGAATGTTGTTGTTTCAGCGAAATCAAATGATTTGCATCAGATGAGAATCCAAGTAGTAATAATGAAAAAATTCCCGAAGTAATAGTTTAGTGAAATGTAAACCAAAAGAAAACATAGATAGATAGGATACGCAGCTAGGGGGAGAAAAACGATCTCTAGTTAGAAAGCAGAAGCAGACGGCGAGGAAGAAGGCAGAGAGACCGTATAATCAGGAGTCGGGGGAAACCGGGAGCGCAGGGGTGTGGCGTAGCATGTAAGGAACGCTACGGCTGTGAATGAACCATTCTTCGGAGTCGGAGTGATACCGGGAAAACGGAGAATCTTGTTGGGAAACGATGATGGGTAATGTTCAGTTGGAGACCTCCGTCGGAGATGGCGGAGGTTGCTTTGAAACTCGAGCAGTTGGAGACGATGATGGGTAATGTTCAGGAAGATGGTTTGTCTCATCTCGCGACGGATACTCTTCACTACAATCCGTCGGAGCCCTACTCGTGGCTTGATAATATGCTCTCGGAGCTTATTCCATGGGCTGTTACAGACCCGGTTTTGCCTCCGCCGGAGATTCTTACCTTCTGATCAAGCAGAAGCATGACTAACCCTTCTTCCAGTGAATCTCCGTGGCCCCATAGACGTAGGAGGCGAGCCGTGATAGTCTCCGCAATCAGCCCTTAAATCGTCGAAATTGGCGGAGGATGGCGGTGGAGCGACAGGGTAACCGTCGACCGGTGAGGAGAGGCAAAGAACAAAGAACAAATGGGGAGATGAGATAAACGGGATGTGGACGGAAGCAACCTCGTGAGCCGGACGGGAAGAAGAGAGGGAGCCGAGAAGACACGGGACGTTGAGCTCTTTAAAACCTAAACTCAAAACGACGTCGTTTTGGAGGGGCGTGGGATTGAGTTAACTTTAAAATTTTCATATTTAAAATAGATTATTACTGAATGGATATATGTCATTTTCTATATTATTTTTAGATTAATATTTATTTTGTTTTTTTAACGATCCATATCAATATTTTAAATAGAATAATAAGCATATTTTCTGGATTACTAATATTGTAACTTTTTTGAATAATGGATAGATATTTGGTTATTTATTTATGTTTATTATTATATGTAAGTTGTTTCCTATTTTCAAAATACATTAATTATGTGATTTGTTCAAAAGATTATAATTTAACTAAATCTAAAAAACCTTTACAAATATTGCTAATAAAATTTAGTCAAGGTAAACATTCTTTAAAATTTATATTAAGAAAGCAAATAGCAATTTCTACTACATATTACACTTAAAATACATGTACCAAAAAAAACATTTTTAAGTTTTAATACAAAATATAATTCTGCTGATTTTCATCATAATTTAAGTCTAAATTTCCCGCAAACATATTTAAAGTTGAAAAATTATTACCAAATAATTAGATGAGATGAAGCGCGCTTTGTTAAAAATGTTTAAAGGTAACAAATTTACATCCTTTCGCTTATTTTTACCAACGCATGCTCTGAAAACTTTTGTCCTCCGTTGATTTATTTTGAAAATATGTATCTTTCTCAACAACAGTTATGAGTTGCATGATGATTGAGTTAATTTTACTTGTCATCCACAATCTCTCGTTCTCTATGTGATCTTCTCAATTTTATTTGGTAAAACCGTATAAACCTTAATTCATCATCGAATCTATTCAATTTGTGAGTGGCATTGGCAGACAGTCGTACACCTATGGACTTGTCTTTCTAACAAACTGATTATGTTTCTTTTGTAGGTTACTGTTTTCGGCACCTCAAAACTCTCGTGATGTTACGCTAAGCAAAGGGCATAAAATTGAAATTGAAGATCTTAAAATATGAAGAATATGTTGTTATTGTGTTTTTGTGTGTTTTAACCACATAATAAGGCCAATGACCTAGACAAATATAAGGGGAGTTTGTTCATTGTTTTCTCCAAAACTAAGCTTCTCAACATTAAGAGCTTAACACCATCAATAGAAAAATAAATTCAAGCTCCAACAATTTTGACAGAAAGAGCCCTTTTGTTTCTAATTATTATGTGTTTATAACTAAAAGAAGGAACTATGTTGAGTTTGCATTATGACCAAGACTCGGCAGCAGACTTAGGGAGCGGCGGAAGCAACAGAGCTTTGTGGATCGGTTAGGTAGTCTCTCCTCTCCATGCTTCTTCTTCATAGTTTATTTTTAACACTTAATTTCATTAAATTTCATTAAATGACGACATAAGTTTTGACAAAGGACACAAGTAGGCATCGAACATATAGAAGAAGGGTAAAAAACACATATATCATGTGAAAGGTTATGAAACCAGAACTAATTTCAAGGGAAATCAACTTCGAGATAACAAACAGGGGTCCGAAGATCCAAGGTAAGAATACATGTCTAAATAGGTAGAATTTCATTTTGAATGTACATCTCAAAACTTTTAATAAAACAAAAACTTTCATTAACGTCTAACCATGTATCATTTCATTTTGAATGTACACATGTTTACATTAGGCTTGATGTGGAAAAGGTGAGCCGCCACCTAGCTCCGCCGTCGCAATAAAACAAAAAAATCGTAATATGGAATAAGTACATGATCTGTATCTTTTTGATAGAAAGAACTGATACTTGCTAAGCTGGTTTTTCAAATATATTTTCTTAAGTTTTCATTGCTCCAATTCATTCTCTATTACCCTCACAAACTCTCCTTGATTGCAGTTTCTTTATAATACACTCGTCAAGTACTCTCTCTTCAGATCGTACAGTTATCTTAGATAACTTATATATGTGTCCACTCTAGACATGGCAAGAACTCCCAGAACCCTAGCTTCGTCCCAGTAGCTCGCCGGCTTGTTGTATCTTATTCAATTAATCGGGTGCTGTAACTGTTGTTCATCACAAATTCACAAGACAGAACAACAAAACTCTTTAGGATTCATACAAACGGATTCTATATAGTGACATGTTTAGTTACCTTGTGATCTAAAGAGAGAGGGATCGCTACACCGTGTGTGACGGCAATGAATACGGCGGTTGATTAGACACTTGCACCATTAGCAAATACGTTGCAGTCTCGGTGACACGCTTATTATGCAACCGTTCTCTACATTCTCCACAACCTAATTATTACAGATGGATAAATTTTGGTCAACGGTTCTATCTGCAAGAAAAAAATATTTAAAATAACATGTTTAGATTTTACAAATGAAGATCCAAGATCCAAGTGAATAGATTTAAGTGTCGTATTCCGTTTGGTGCAAGATCCAAAATCCAATAGCTGACCTATAAGTGACTTAAAGAAAACAAACAATAAATATCTCTATGAAAAAGGATAAAACGATCAGTTACCTGAAAAACTACACCATACGGAAGATCATAATTTTAGTTAATAAACTAAGAAGATCATTTGGCGTTCGGGTTTTCCAAAGATCAAAGATCCTACCTTCAATCTGCAACGTCAAAATTAGAAGAAAAAAAAATAGAACACACAAAAATAAGAATACTTGTCATTGTACTTGCATGTAATGTAACACAAAATACAAAAGATCATTTGGTGTTCCGGTTTCTCAAAGATGAAAGATCGTACCACCAATCTGCAATGTCAAAATTAGACGTTTATGAAACAAACAAAAAAAACACAAAAATAAGAAAACTGGTAATGTAACACTTTCATTGATTATAGTATACACCATACCATTATACTTTTTTTTTTGTTAAAGACACCATACCATTGTACTTGCATGTAATGTAACACAAAACACAAAAGATCATTTGGCGTTCGGGTATTTCAAAGATCAAAGATCCTACCACCAATCTGCAATGTCAAAATTAGATGTTTATGAAACAACAAAAAACACAAAAATAAGAAAACTGGTAATGTAACACTCATTTACTGTATATACATTCATGGAGAAAAATTAGAAAACAGATGAATTCATTTAAAAACAATAAACCAAAGAGTATACTGAGAGAGATAATTATCATACCGTAAGGTTTTGTATCTTCAGCTTCGATAATGCAAGCAACATAACCCTTTTGTACCTTATTTCCAATCTGCGAAATCAGGAAAAACAAAATTGATCAAATTCCACCTATGGTTTCCACGGACTATGAGCTGATATTTATAGGTAAAATCGTAAAGATTTTCAATCGGGATTATTGTTTGTTTTCCTTAAAATTATTTATAGCTTACCTTATATGGACCAACTTTCAGTTTTAGGTGTATGATTTATTAATGAATTTTCACTAAAGTTATTAAGTTAAGATTTTTCGAATTAGTATAATTTGGTGTAATATTCTGAGAGATTATTCTACGACTCATTAGGTATAGTCACTTCCACAATTAGAAACATATAACTTATGCGGATCTCATCACTTTAGAAAGTAATATTCGCCCTCATAAAAAAAAACACAAAGTAATAAAGGAATTTTAATTTATTCGAAATGAAATTTAGGAAATAAAATATGAACATGATATGAGAACGTGAAGAAAATAACAGATTTTAGTCCTTACATGGAAGGTTTCAAATACGTGGTAATAAAGACACATTAAATTAGGTCTGGATAAGGCAAAGTGGTAGGAATAAAATATATACGAAATATCATAATTATTCCGAATAAGGCAACACGGTATATGAACTTCTATGGACTTATAAATGTATAATAAATTTTATTAAGCTCAATAAAGTTATCTCAAATTTTATAAAGCCCAATGCGATTAAAAAAAAACCCACCTGTAAAAAGGATCCGCGTCCTTTACCGAAAATGAAAAAGAATTTATTTAAAAAAATCAAAAATGAATCAAAAAAAAGAAAGTTTGCCACATCAGCAAAAATGCATGGTCTTTAATATATTGTAGGATATTTAATTGTTAACAGTTTTGTGTTAAGATATATATATTTATAAGTTTTTATATGATAATTATTAATTTTTATGATATTATTGACACCATATATTTAATAGGAGTATTAAAAAGTTATTATCTTATCAAATTGAATAATATTTTATAGGGGTCACTTGGTTTTTCTAGCCTTAAGGTTACTCTGCCCCTAATTTAAAGTATTCATTTATAATAACGAAACGAGAAATGACGGAAACAAAAAATTTGAGTTTATAATTTTTCCGATTTACCAAAATTTATATATATAATTTTTAATGTAAAATTTATATATATAATTTTTAATTCCAAACTTTTTCATTCCCATCATTTCTCGTCTATTATCATAAGAGAATACTTTAGGTACTAATTTGGACAAATGGTCGATTCTAGAAAGAAACATCATTTAGATGATAAACCCTAGATTTTTCAGACCGAACCGGATCTTACTTTATGTTTCTCCTGCATTTTCTTTATCTGCAATTAAAAGTGTGATTGTGTGTTAAATACAGATCATCTGTATTTGATCTATATCTGCATTGATTATGTATTTGATCTGTGTCAGACCCTAAATCTTTTGACCAGTCCGAAAACTTCTCAATCTGGGTAGGTGCGTGGGACCCTTTTGATACCGACAGGGAGAGACAAGATTTAAAGTCAGAAACACATTACTTGGGGACTGGTGAGAGACATTTGAAACAGAGACAAAAAAAAAAATCAAGGTTGACCCAAAAACAGAGAAAGATATTCAAATCAATGGAGAAAGTGAATCAAACATTCTATTTATCCCATGGATCTCCGTCTTTGAGCATAGACGATAGCTTGGAGGCAAGAAAATTCTTCCAATCATGGAAGGACAAAGTCTTTCAACAGAGACCCAAATCGATCTTAGTCATCTCCGCTCATTGGGACACCAAATACCCATCCGTCAACACTGTTGTCCGCAATTCCACGATGCACGACTTCGGTGGTTTCCCTGAAGTCATGTACAAGGTCTCTCCTACTTTCTTACAAAAGTCCCTCACTTTTGTCTGACCCAGATTCTATAATCCATAATTCTCAATCTCAAAGAGCATATGGTTGAATGAATGATACATCAAATTTTCAATTTTTTTTGGGGTCAATTGCATCAAAGTTACAACTTTCTATCCATATGAGTTTTGCAGCTGAAATATGAAGCACCAGGAGCAACTGAATCGGCAAAGAGAGTTAAAGAATTGCTAATGGGAGAAGGAGGAATGAAACGTGTTGATGAAGATACAAAGAGAGGGCTTGATCATGGAGCTTGGGTTCCTTTAATGTTGATGTATCCTGAAGCAGACATACCGGTTTGTCAACTCTCTGTTCAATCATCCCAAAACGCGACTTACCATTACAACATGGGCAAGGCATTGGCTCCATTGAAAGATGAAGGTGTTCTCATCGTTGGCTCTGGAAGTGCTACTCATAACTTGAGGAAGCTTGAGTTTGGCATGGCCAATGGCTCATCTGTTCCTTGGGCTCTAGAGTTTGATATTTGGCTTAGGGATTGTCTCTTGCAAGGAAGGTTAGAAAGAAGATAACAAACAACAAACTTACTAATCGTTTTGTTGCTTAGTAGATTGAAATTATTGTGTTTTTCTTTGCAGGTATGGAGATGTGAATGAGTGGGAAGAGAAAGCTCCGAATGCGAGATTGGCGCATCCATGGCCTGAGCATTTTTTTCCTTTACACGTTGCAATGGGTGCAGCTGGTGAAGATGCAAAGGCAGAGCAAATCCATACAAGTTGGCAAGGTGGTACCTTGTCTTATTCTTCTTACAGCTTCACTCCTACTTCCATTTGAAACATTTATATCCTTCACTTGTTGTCTCTTCCTTGTGTGTTTGTTTCATTTCCCTTTATATTATCCAAGTCATGGTTTGTATACAAATATAAACTCATCACTGTAATTTGTACTATAATGTATGAATAATGTCATGTGAGTTTGAATAAATTGTGTTCTTTTGTAAAACGCTTATGTGTTTCAGTTTATCTCTGTATTAGCTTTGTGTTGTTCATCATTTGCACTTTCAAATTTGAAGAATGTTTTTTGGCTGAAGCATAATGCAATTCATTTCTCATTTACATTCTGCTTTCCTTGCTTCAAGTTAAAGAGCTTCTACATTAAACCGCCTAATTAAATTGTGTAGACTATGATTATTACTATTTTAGCGATGGACGTTGACTTAACGTCTCCTTAATAGATATATAGCCATTATTTAAACACCACTTTTAACTTACTCTTACAAATTCATTGAACGTTCTATTAACAGCACATTATAAACTTCCCAAGAACAAGTTGTCTAGAGATATCAATTATACAGTTTCAGATTCTTATAGTCAACACTGTCTAAAGTTTCATTGTCAATGTATTTATTTTTAAAAAACGTAATAGCTGAATGTGAGTGTGCAGTGTCTTGAACCCTTTTTCTATAAATAGTTGTTTTCTTTGGACATCAAATATATCACTTTATCACATCATAAACAAAAAGATTCGACCCATAAAAGTATGAAATTCACTTTTATCTCCAAAATGCTATCGCAATTGGCATTGTATTATTCTCTTTCTTTATTCTCTTTAGGTTCTGCCAAACAGTTATCAGCAAAACCTACTATTTCAGCACTTTTCGCATTTGGAGATTCAATACTCGATACCGGAAACAACAACAATCTCTTAACTCTTTCCAAATGCAATTTTTATCCATATGGTAGAGATTTTATAGGAGGCAGAGCAACCGGAAGATTTAGCAACGGAAGAGTTTTCTCAGATATGATTGGTATATTTGTTGATCTTTTAGTACTCACTCCTTCTTTTTATACTTAATTGTGTTTAATTTCTACGAAAATGTAAATTTATTGGATGTTTTGTAAGCATCTCTTCTATTATGTAGAGTCTTATAATATTGGTTATCAATAGGTTTTTTTAATATATAAATGTTTTTTTAATGTTTTGCATTTAGCCAAACATCCTTTTTTTGTCTTGACAACATAATTTTACTTTTCCTGTTTTCCAATACAACTTTTATTCTAGAAACATAAATAGTTATATCATTGTTTGATAGCAAAGCATTTTTACTTGTAGGTGAAGGTTTGGGTATAAAGAATCTCTTACCAGCTTATCGTGACCCTTTCCTCTCAAACGATGATCTTTCAACTGGTGTTTCTTTTGCATCTGGTGGATCTGGACTCGATGCCTTTACTGCAAACGTACAAGTAATAAAAACAATTACTCTAATCAAATCTGAAATCAGAATAGTTTAACAGCCATAATCTTTTTAACATATATTGTTGGTTTCCCTGGGTGGATTTATAGGGAGTAATATGGGTTCCTGATCAAGTGAATGACTTCAAAAAATACATCACAAAACTCAATAACGTTCTAGGAAACAAAGAAAGAACAAACGCGATTATATCAAACGCTGTTTATCTAATCTCAGCTGGTAACAACGATCTTGCCATTACCTATTATCCTACTCTAACTAGAAGCTTACAATATACTGTATCAGCCTACACTGATCTCATGGTCACTTGGACTCGTGACTTCATAAAGGTACATAAAAATCATCAATTAAGATTATTATCTTTTTCATAGTTTAACTGTTTTGTTTTTGTTCTTGAAGAGATTATATGATATGGGAGCAAGAAAATTCGCCGTTCTTGGAACGCTGCCGCTAGGTTGTTTGCCAGGAGCAAGAAGCATGGTTGGGAGTGTAACTTTCCTGAAACTATGTTTATTCAACGTAAATCAAGGAGCTGAGATGTTCAATGAAAAATTATCTTCGGAACTTAACAACTTCCACACAATATTTCCTGGTGCAAAATTCGTCTACGTTGATATGTATAATGCTCTTCTTGATCTCATCAATAACCCTTGGAGTTCAGGTAAATTAAAATGACATTTCATATAAAATACATCGACGTTTCATTACTATATATGTAGTTATAATAATTTCAGAGCTCAGAGATATAATATATTTTTGTGTTCTTGGAAAATGTATATAGGGTTTATTGATGTGGCTGATGGATGTTGTTGTACGATGACATCTTCAATACCGTGCTTGGACGCATCTCGCTATGTATTCTGGGACGTAGCACATCCGACCGAAAAGACATACGAAACGATCACACCAAAGATAATTGAGGAACTCAAAGAGAAGCTTGCATGATTCATTTCTCTTGACTTGGAAATTTTTACTTATATTTTGGTCTGAAAATACTTATGCATCCATTTTGGTCGTACCAATTACCAAGACCTTTTTTAGTCTATTTTAGGGTTATTCTCTTTTAATTTTGCGGTTATAAGATTATGCATGAATATGTCATGTGATGAATTTGTGGGGTTGTATAAAGCTAATACAATTCCCTCAGTATATATTATAGGGTTGCTTTTGATATATAAAATTGAAATAATATGGGTTCTCTGCTCTATTAATTGATCAATAGAAGCATATCTATCACTTGCTCAAGAATGTGTTTTTTCTGAATCATCAAGTGATTCATCTCTCATTTACATTCTGCTCCCTTCCCATTTAGGCTAAAGAGTTTTGATTAAAAGAACAAAAAAAAAATGGAGTTTGTTTTTTTCTTTTTCTTTTTGCGTCTTCCTATTTCACTTTGATCTTCTCTTTAGTTTGCACCACATTCCATTTTTGGCATGAATCGTTGCGCCGCTCACGAGTTCAACAGACTCCGGCGATCCACGCAGCTCCACGTCGAATTTCTGAAACAACATAGCTAGTGCAACGGTCGATTCCATTAGGGCAAACTGATCTCCAATGCATTTCCTTGGCCCTCCACCAAATGGTAAGAATGCAAAGTCTGCTATGATCTGTTCCCATCATAAATATCACACAAAAGACAAGTCTTGTTACAATGCATAAGAGAGCTAATTAAGTGCATAAGATTTTTCAGGTTTCGTGAAGGGAAAGTTTTGTAAGGTTTTGGATTTTCACCTCGTTTGGATAGAGAGCTCCAGGGCTTCGAGATGGATCAAATCCAGCCCATCCTTCGATTCCATTGCTCTCCTTCGTTCTTAAGAACCTCTCTGGCTCAAACTCGTCCGGGTTATCCCAAAAGTATGGAGATCTATGCAGATTATAAACCTGAAAGCAAACACACAATAGGGGCATTGGAAAAAAAACTAGAGTTCTATTGAGGAAAGCATAAACATATATAGTAAATGCCACTTACAGAGATGAATATATCAGTTCCTTTTGGCACTTTATGACCTTCTTTTTCACCTTTGTATCCTCCTGTGGATTCAAGTCATTATGAGACATGGACTAAGTCATTATCTAGTAATTGTGGGGAAATGATGTGTTAATTCTGCCTTTGGACCGTACATAATCATAAATTCATAATACATATTTTGGTGTACGCGGTGAACATGAAACATACCGGGCAAAGTTTCTGGTTTGAGAGTGCGTCTGATAAGCAAAGGTGGCTGAGGATAGAGACGAAGGACTTCTACAACGATCAGTCGTATGTACCTGCAGAAGCATTGAACAAAGCGGTCAAAGATTGAAAAGACAGACCAAAAGATAGATTGAAGTTTGAGTTAACGTACTCAAGGTTCTTCACTGATTCATAAGTAGGTGCACCTTGACCAAGCACTGCATCAATCTCAGCTTGAGCTTTCCTAATTTTTTCAGGATTCTGCGAGTTTAGAAGCAGAATGCTTAAAACTGTACATGAGCTTATTTCATGGAAAAGGGCAAAAGACTTTTAAGTGCATACTTGTGCGAGAAGGTAAACAGCCCAAGTAAGAACTGCTGCTGTTGTCTCGTGGCCAGCAATTAGCATCGTCATCAAGTCATCTCTCAGCTGTTGAAACAATTGTGAGGGAAAAAGGATGAATCAAAATGCAAAAAAGGATAACAAGAGTATTAAATCAGAGACTGATATAATCTTGCCTGCCGGTCATCAATATCAGCACCGCGCATATCGACTAAGAACCGCAAAAGACTTGCATCCTGTGGATCCAAGACAAGACAATCAGAAGATTTTCAAAATGGAACAAAGAAAAGGAAGGATTCTTTAGAGCACTAGTAGCAGAACCTTGAGATTAGAGTAGTCCCTTTGCTGGAGCTTCTCTACATCTGTTTCCTGTCTAGTCTCTTTAGCATTTTGAATGAGTCCATCAAGACAATCGTTTATAACCTTCAGATCCCTTTGGAACTTTCGTTGCCTCGGAACAATCCATCTTGCTGGAGGAAAATTCCAATAAGGGAAGTAGAAGGTAGACCGATGCTCTGCCTCGAAAAGAGTTCCATAAACCGCCTGTGATGTAACAGAAAACATCATGGACCAGCTTATCTCGAAAGACTAGTGAAAAGCCAAACTAATTGTAGAGTGATTAATAAACAAAAACCTTAATCACAGGTGACTCTTTTGTGACAGAGCCAAAGTCGTAGTTGAACACGCTAAGCCCTATAATATCAAGAGCCAGACTCGAGAACTCTGCTTCCATATCCAACTCGATTGTGTCCACTCCACTTGAAACTTCTTTCTCCCTTAAGAGTTTCTCAGACTTCAGTATCATTTTCTCCGAACAGTCACTAAATACTTTGACCATGGCCTCCAGATACAATGTATGAAACGCAGGAGATATAGCTGCAACACAGATTAAAAAAATCACTAATGCCATAGTACTGCAGTATCTGAAACAAAGAGATTACAACACTGCTTTACCTCTTCTTCTTAACTTCCAGGTATCAAGATCAGCCGGTATCAACCCTTTCCCCATAATCGGCTCTAAGATCTCAGCAAGAACTCCCTAGAGAACATTCAGGACAAGTTACAATCGATGGCACCTCAGAAAACAAAAAGAAATGCATATTTTTTCCCTTCAATTACTCAGTTACCTTATCATAAGAAAACGCGTTTTCCCGTAGAACATGTCTTGCAACAATAGGATCTGAGATGACAACAAAGGCTTTTGGACCAAACGCGAGTTTATACACTCCTCCATGCTTTAGTTCAAGAAAAATCACATAATCAAACAATGTGTTTTTATAAGAACAAATCTCTTCAAAAGTAAAGCCTTAAGATGAGTTCTTGTAGCATATATACAATACCTCAATGAACCAGTCGTAAAGCGATAAGAAGAGAGGCTTTCCAAACAAATCAGAGACTGCGCCTTCAGCAATGGGCATTGACGCTAAACTTCCACCGCTTAGCAGACTTGTGAAAAGGTTGCTTGCATTGTCCAAAATGTTACCATTCGTCTTTGGCTCTTTGGTATTAGTAGATTGGCACCTAAAAAGTAAAAACAATGCCTCAACAAAATCAAACTCTATTACTAGCACCCAAAACTGCTACTGTATCTTGCTTGGTTCTGAATTTCTCAAAATCAACTTTGAAACCTATCGAATTTAGCTAATTTCCACTTAAAAAATACAGTCTTTTTCTAGACCCATATCTACAGACTGAAGCGAACAGAAGCAAAATTCCCCAAATTTTAATCAATCGAGACCTAATTTTAAGGGTGGAATAAAAAAGAAAGAGAATTTCGTAAGGGGAAGAAGCAGCGAAACGCACCTGATGGAAACAGAAGCTCTCCGAGAATTTCCAGTTTGAGGGTAGAAACCGAAGAGGCAGGAATCGCTCTTATACACACGAAGACGGCCATGGAAGGAGCTGGTAGTGACGCGGTGAGTAGCAGCGGCGGGAAAAGCCGTCGAAGTCATCTTCACATGAATCAAAATTGCAGAAAGTTTGAAAAAATCTGAACATCTTATTTTGTTTTTCGTCTTCTTCTGCTTCTTCTTATCTTGGCCACCACATTCCTACAAGCAGCAAGCATAACAACACAGACTGCACTTGTACTGACACGTGTCCTCCATTTCTTTAACTTTTCTTTTTTGAGTAATCCCATTGTGCAATTTATTTGCGAATCCTAGATTATCTGATTCACCGATTGTGTGTGCTTATGTAAAAATAACGTACATTTTAAAGTAGTTTTGAAAAGTAGTACATAAACGATCGAATTAACCAAAACTAAGGCTATTGTTCATCAGATTATAAGAAACCATAAGTTTACTAGGGTTTGACCCGCACCCTGCACGGAGTGATGGTTTCTGAATTTGTATTTTTATTAAAAGATGTTTATTTAAATATATCTCAAAATTTTATGCGACGGATTTTTAATCTTTGTTAGATTATTGTCTTCGTTTATTCGTTTATAATATGAAAATCAAGCATTTTCTACTATTTTTTAAAAAGGTAAATAGATTAAAGTCTTGGATGTAGCCATATATTAAATATGATAGATTTAAGCGAGATACATAAAACTCAAATGACTACAGTATAATAAGTTAGTTTAAAAAACAAAAAATGTGAAAATAAAACATTATTCTTTACAAAAAAATTATACTGTATTTCATAAGATAAGAAGTCTTAGCTGTGTGCACACATATTAGAACTAATTTTTTTTTCTTTTAAAACTAAAACACGGATTAAAATCAATTTTTTTTTTTTTCAAAAGGATTATAATTATTTTTTTTCCTTCTTTCAAAACTAAAACACGGATTAAAACCATTTTTTTTCTTTCTTTCAAAACTAAAATATGGATTTTTTTCTGTCTTTCAAAATTAAAACATGCTTTATTATAATTTCAAAACAATCCAACCAATAAGAAGACAATCTGCATAATCTAAATTGTTAAAACAATAAAAATATAATTAACTTTATAATGAAAGTTGAAATAGATGGAGTAATATTCAAATTTTTAATCAAAATAAAAATTTATTAAAAAAAATTATTCAGTTTTATTATAGAATTTAATTAAAAACCATATTAAATGGAATAAAAATAATATGAAGCTGCTTGATACCTACTAAATGAGGTTATATACTAAACAATTTACATTATTTTGTTTTTAAAAATTCAAATCATAGCATATTCAGAAAAAGATTTAGATTTTCTTTATTAGTTTTCTTATATGATGATTCATATTATTTTATAAAATAAAGTTAAACAAAGATGATAGAAGATATATAGTGATTTAAAAAAAATATTATGATAGAAATCAATTGGAATTTCATATCTTCCTTATTTACTTATTTTCGTAATTGTCATTTAAGGAAAGAAAATAATAATAAAGGGATGGTAAGCATAATATGCAATGGCATATATTGTAATTTTTCTAGTAAATGTTGTCTTATTTAAAAGTTGAGCTGAGAGTGAACCTGGTGATGACACCTAAGCAATGACACTCTTGTTAATAACACATGAGATAAAGGTTATTTTGATAGTGTTTTCTCTTTTAATATATTAGAGATATAGATTTAAAATAATTATATCAATGAATCCTAGTTAACTTTTTCTATGGAACATGTTTTCAAAACCTGAACTAAATCTGAATTCGGTTCTATTTTGTTACCTATCTGGCTATCTCTCAAAACCTGAATGGATATGCCTAATTTTCACCAAACATGTTGTCTGATCGCTGGTAGTAATAAAGTTATGTAATCGTAGAGACTTGCACAATCCGGACCCGAAGTGTTTCTTTGCCCAAGACAAAATCAACTTTTTGTTTTCCCATTAACAAACAACTTTCTTAAATAACGGACAAGAACTACAAACTAATGGTTCGAACTTGCACCTTGAAGACATACACTCTAAATTATTGCACTAAAAACCACAGATAACTACTGATAAATAATACTCCTAAACTTGTTAATATACTTTAATGCCTAAAGCATCTTTTGCTGGATTTTAGTCTAGGGACTTAAATATTGGTATATACATAAGCGAAGACAAAAGGATGATCCACATGTTAGAGTTGGACTCACCTCTAGGCTTTAGAATATTTGAACTAGTTTTAAGCTTAACAATGGTCTTTAATTAAGTGAGGTTTGGGGTATGTCACTTTGGTTGTTGTAACTTGTAACAAGCAGGAGAAAGTTAAGAGGAAATATAAACAGTAGAAACTCTCTTAATCGTGTACAACTTGTTTTCTTCTGGGTTCTACGTACCGGTTTGGTTGTTGTAGAATTACTTACTGTGAGAATCTAGACACGACAAAAGAACAAGAAAAGACAAAAAAAAAGAGAACTGAAAAATGCAAATAGACAACCATCAAACATTAGGCGACGACAGCTTTTATTTAATCCACGTGTCCCCAAAACCACACCAAAAACTAGAAAAACAACGGCTATGATTCGTTTAGATGATCTTCCTTTGTCCGAGTCGAACCAATTAAAAACGATTAGAAAAAAAAAAAAGACAAAGAGAGCGTCCATAAATACGTAAGAAGGACTTGTCTAGGATCTCTCGCATAATAAGAAAGATGGCCAACCAAAACAACGACTGGTCTCAACTCTACAACAACCAAACCTTCTTCACCACCACAACCACAACCACCACCGTCGCCGCCACGTCAGCTGATTCGCCCGTGAGCCCCGAAAGCCGCCGTGCTTCAAAGCCAACACGTCGAAGATCTAGAGCCTCTCGCCGTACACCCACTACGCTTCTCAACACGGACACAGCCAACTTCAGATCCATGGTCCAACAGTTCACCGGTGGTCCATCCGCTGTGGCTTTTGGTTCGTCTTCCTCTGGTTTTAGCCTCACCTCGTCGGATCCCACCGCCAGAGCTTCTTCCTTAGGCTATCAATACGCTAGTTTCCAGAACCAAGCCGCTCATAACGAGATACCTCAACAACAGATACCGTATACGTTTTCGTCTCCAAACCATATGAGTAGTCATCTTAGCTATCCTAACACGGTGGTCTCCGATGGTTTTGTGGCGCCGGACGGGAGTAGATACGGTAGAGAAGGAGGTAGAGGTTACGCTCCATCGTCGGAGAGGAATAACAATACTACTTCATGGTTGCAATGAGGAAACATTAGATTATTCTCACTTTTCTTTTTTTACTTTTCTTAGAAAAAAAAAATCATAAAAGGAAGAAATGTTAGGTACTGACTTTGTTTGTAGCGGAATGAAAACTTTGACTATTGTAATTTTTTTTTTTTGTGTTTTGTTTATTTTTCACATCTCGACGATCTTTCTTCTTTGTTGTATGATAACTTTGTGGAAGCATATATTGAATAAATTAAAATTGAAAAACGTGTGATGTTCCTAGTTTATACTTCGTATCATAACAACTCGTTCGAACTAGATTCATGTAGCCTTGTCGTTAGCTTTGGCCTCTGCGTTTCAGAGACTACATATGAATGTCCCTACTAAGATGTACTTAATCTTAATATTTCACCACGGAAGATGAATATACACTAATTCGACTATCATAAGGTCCGTATTATATTGATTTTGAATGCTTGACTCTTTCTAAGAACTATTATGCGATCCATAATGGGGTTGGATGTGTGAAAATATCTTTTGGAAAAATGTTTGAGAATAGCTCTTTTCACAGAAAAAAAACTATTTGAGAATCAGATTTAGACCTTCTTTGTGTTGGCTTCGAGTATCATATACAGTAGAAACTCTATAAATTAATAATGTCGGGACTTTGATATTTTATTAATTTATAGAGTTATTAATATATAGATTTTGACTAAAAAATATTTTTCAAAAAAAAAATCAATATTAGTAATCTTTTAAATTTTCTTTCCAATTTAATAAGAATTTTCCTTTATACGAATATATTCTTAACTTTTTAAGTTAAGTTTCTATATTTACTTTATACATTTTCTCATACTTGTCATATTTTTTAAATTCCATATATGTTTTGTGTATGAGAGATTCATATTTTAGCAACTAGATATCTTAGGTATATATATATTAAGTTTTTATATGATAATTATTAATTTATAATATTATTGGGACCATATTTTACATAAGAGTTTAAAAAAAGTTATTATCTTATTATCTTATCGAATTGTGTCATATTTTACACTGATCCAACTCGGGAACTGAAGAATTTATTAATTTATCGTGTTTATTAATTTATCGAGTATTAATTTATAGAGTTTATATTGTAATATGCTTGTACATGGAAACTTGTGATTGCCTTTTTCTTTTTTTGTGTCCAACGTGATTAACTTTAAGAAAAATATTAGCTACCTTTTGGATTTAATGAAGAATTGTCTCCAAAGAAAGAAGTAAAAGAATGAATAATTTACTTTGCCGTTGCCTTTCGCTCGGAAACACGGGAAAGTGTCAAAGTCAGTCGGTGAAGGTAGGCTACCAACATGTGAAGAATCTCACGTGTGTTTCTCCTTTTTTTTTCCCTCAATCGCACAAATTAAAAAGTAGTTAACTAGAAAATGAAATCGTGTGACAAAAAAAAAAGGTTAGAAAGACTATATGGAGCTTAAAGGGACCAAGCTTAACGAATTTGGGAAAAGGGCCAGTTCCTAGTTCTTGTTATACTTAAGTGGTTAGTTATTAAAGGGTGATATTTTCATTTCTTCCATGTTCTTCAGAAGAACCAATCGATCGGTTTTTAAGTAGAGTAATAAACCAAAAACCAGTTTTTAATGAGTTTTAGCTTAACAGTTTACTGGTTCGAGTACTTGTTTTCACTAACATAACATGCACCAGCCCAAAAACATGGATTACTAATTAATAGAGTGGAGTGTCAACGTTCAACAAGTTAAAAATATGGTTTTGTATATTACTAAATTTCACCGATATTGTGAGTTGTAACAAGTACCATTATTCATTCATGTTTTCTTTTTAGAAATTGCACTAACTTTAATTAGATGAATCTCGTGAAGACAGATATACATTAGACGAATCTTATATCACCACGTGTATATGTATAACAATTACAGTACTTAGTAAAAAAAATCGTAGGGAAGCCTAAATCCACTTTACAAAAACTCGGATTACTCCGTAGGTGATATCAGTTAAAGGTTCGTAAACAAGGACAGCCCGGACTCATTTATAGAAACGACACAGTTTGTGTTTGCTCGTCATGACTTAGTCATGACATCATCAAATGACGATAGTCAAGTAGACAACCCTACTCACGTTACTGACGTTAGTATGGGGCCCAAAATGAATAATGCTAGCTATCTAATCTATCGTGTTTCAGCAGAGTTTAAGAGTATATATGGACGGCACAATTGGAGACACAACATAAACGACAAGACAAATTCAACACTTCCACGACAAGAGTTCCATGCAATCTTAGAGAACATGTTCTACTCGTGATCTGGTATCTAATTCGGATAAGATATTCTCTATATTGATACAATGATACCTAATGTCATGTTTATAACAAAGAGATTCGTTTGTTTTGTGTATGTGTTAATTCTAGTTTTGATCATGTTTGTGAAAAACGTACTCCTAATTACCTTTTTTTTGGTAAGAAAATAGCACAAAAACACGTGGATAACTATTCTAATATCCGACATAAACAAATCCATGTTTTCTTCTCTATTTTAAAAATCTTAATGTTCTAGTTTGTAATCAAGTCTTGTAGTCAAAATATTGTTTTGAACGTCGAAAATACTCATAACATACGACACCGGTGTCACCTCTTAACTACACATGATAAACGCTTACAAATTACAATACCATTTTGGTATAGTGGAAAGAACGCCACAAAATTTTAAAATATGAGAAATTTGCAGTGCACTACATTGTTATGTTAAGTGACAAAAACGCTGAAAGAGAAATTACGTTATGGCCAGCTTTGAAAAAATTGTTTTGGGACCAGACTGTTTTCAGTAATATTAAGTGACTGTTATTCAATTATTTGAAATCAATTCTCTCGGTTTTATAATCTTTCAGATTTTAAATTTTTGTCTTATTTTAAAAACTAGGGAATGAAATCCCGCATAAGCGCAGTGTTATTGCAAAAATAGTTATTTTTTTTTTGTATTCCTTGATTTAAGTTATGATGGTTTTATGTTAAACTTTTGATGGATATGTTTTGAGCTAATCCAGCTACTCACATTAAGCATGTTGAAAAGTATTTTTTTTAGTTAAGATGTTAACTCTATAAGGTAACACTGAACACGAAGTTTTTTTTTTTTCTAATGGTGCTGAATCACATTTTGAATCGAAATATAGTAAAAGACATATTTTGTTTTCCTATGAATTACCGTTTGATCATGATATCATTGGTTCTTATATACAATTTTAGCTTTGTAAATTTAAATTGTAGTATTTGTTTACCAGATATGTCACAATCCTTAAAATTTATAATTCTTGCTTCTAATTTCTCATTAGCTTTATACTATGTTATCTAAATTATATTATATATTTTATAACTTCTAAACACATAATAACGTTTTACAATAATAAAAAAAAATCCTCTATATAATTTTTGATTATTAAGGTAACTATATATTATTTAGTGTAAAATATATAATTTTGTTTTACTCCAATTTATACTACAATTTAAATTCAATTTTGATATCAAATTATCACATACTTCATACTCTCTCTGTTTCATAATAAGTGTCGTTTTGACAAAATGATGCATGTGTTTTGAGTCTTAATACATCCATATACATCTAGATACATTGGGTAAGTAAAGAGTCAAAAGGACACTTATTATGAAACGGATGAAGTATTTCTTAATTAGTTATTGTGTATTTTGCTTAATTTGTTTTATGTATTTATTTGGAATATATATAATGGAATATAAATAGACATGTACTCCATCTTAAATACAATTTAATGATTTGTTTTTGCTTATGTGGATAGGCTACATGGAGAGAAAACTCTCATATTACATATAAGATCTATTTTCGTTGGAACTCATTTAATTTTGAATAACACTAAATTTTAAAATAGGATTTGAAATTTTGATTAAATAACACTGAATTTTAAAATATTTTAATGATGAATTACAAATCAGATATAAAATAACACTGGATTTTTAAACATAATTAAAAATCATTAATTGAATAACATTGAATTATAATTGAATTTCAATTTATTTCAAATACAACATCTAATAAATTTTCATTCTACAGTCCCAAAATCTAAAATAAAATACCCATATTTGTAAAGTGTTCCAACATCAACATGGCCGACTAAAAAAGCTCACCATCACCCACAACTATTTTCCAAATTGTCTTATCAATACTAGTTTTGGCACTTTTTGGGGTGTGAATGGAAACCATTATTTATTTAGCTCCAAATTCGAACAAATTGCAAAAAAAAAAACATATTGAAAAGTCGTTAAACGTAGAAAAAAACAAATCCAATTTAGAATTAAAGAAATTGTGCGATTGGGAGGGAAAGCCATAGAAACTAGAAAATTAGGAACAAACCACATTTAAGATAGAAACCCAAAACAAAAAAAATTCCAAGGAGAGGAAGAAGAAAATGGCTGTGAACGGAGATAAAACAACTTCAGATCGGCCGGTCAGAGTCTACGCCGATGGGATCTTCGATTTGTTCCACTTCGGCCACGCTCGCGCCATCGAACAAGCCAAAAAAGCGTCAGTTCCATCAATCTCTGCCTCCGAATTTTTATAAAATCGATTTCTGTTTCTCTTCAATCGTCGATTGCTAGTTTTGTTAACCGGAATTAGGGTGAATTTTGCGTTTTTCCGGCCGCCGGAGTTTCGGTTTGGTTTTGATGTGTATGATTTCAATTCGAAAAAAAAATTAGGTTTCCGAACACGTACCTGCTCGTGGGATGTTGCAACGACGAGATCACCAACAAATTCAAAGGCAAGACTGTGATGACGGAGTCCGAACGCTACGAATCTCTCCGGCATTGCAAGTACGTCGTCGTCAGTCAAATCAAATTCCGCCATTGATTCCGGCGCTTTGCTTGTTGAAATTTTGATTACGCTTTTAATTTGTTGAAACAGGTGGGTCGATGAAGTGATTCCAGATGCTCCATGGGTTCTCACCACAGAGTTTCTCGATAAGCATAATATAGACTACGTCGCTCACGACGCTCTTCCGTAAGAATCTCTAAGAGAAATCAACAATTTTGTAAAGCTTAATGCTTTGTTGTTTGATTGACATGTTCTTGTTTTAATTCTTCTTCCAGCTATGCGGATGCTAGTGGAGCTGGAAATGATGTCTATGAGTTTGTAAGTTTCTTTCATTTGCTTACCTCCTTCTGATTCCTTTGCTGTTTCTTATCTGCCTTGGATTTGGTTTCTGCAGGTGAAGTCGATTGGGAAATTCAAAGAAACGAAACGAACAGAAGGGATATCGACATCAGACATAATCATGAGGATAGTGAAAGATTACAACCAGTATGTGTTGCGTAATCTGGACCGTGGATATTCAAGAGAAGAACTCGGTGTCAGCTTCGTCAAGGCAAAGTCTCCATCTTTGTCTTCTCTTTTCCTTGATGTGAAATGGTAGAATCCACTAACGTGTTATGGGCTTGTTTTACTTGCAAACAGGAGAAGAGGCTTAGAGTGAACATGAGGCTGAAGAAGCTACAAGAGAAAGTGAAAGAACAGCAAGAAAAGGTGTTAGATGTTGGTTCGGTTTACATCGTTTTACACTGAACAAACCTGAATCCTGAATCTTTGCCTTTTAAATATTGCAGATACAAACTGTAGCGAAAACTGCTGGGATGCACCATAATGAGTGGGTTGAGAACGCTGATCGTTGGGTTGCTGGGTTTCTCGAAATGTTTGAGGAAGGTTGTCACAAAATGGTAAGCAATGGCATTCAAAAAGGATTGATTCTCTCAACATTTGAGATACTCAAGCATGAGTAATTTTCTCAGGGAACAGCGATCAGGGACGGGATACAGCACAGGATACTGAGGCAGGATTCAGAAGAGAACAGGTTGCTTCAGAATGGACTGATACATGCCGACGAAGACGATGATGAGAATGAACAAGTCTCTGATGACAATGAGTCTCCAGTAGGAGAGGAGAAGTACCATGATGATGAGGATTACTTGAATGTGAGCAACAAAGAGACTGGGATTGTAAAGAAATGAGAGTTTCTTGGCTCTTGCTACAAGAAGTTACAGATTCTGTACCAAAAAATGTTTATCTAGATTCCACAGTTATGGCGTTAGGCAAGGCTTTGTTTTATTCTGTTCAAGTGAATATAGCAAAAACTCTGCTTTTCAGTCTTTTACTTGTTTTTTTAAGACTCAAATGCAGTCACTGATATATAGAATCTATGATCAAACACTCGATTACATGGAGACCAAACAAATTAAGTAAAAAGGAAAATAACTCCATCAAAGGTCACATAATTCTTGTGACTTGTAATATAAAAGCATTAACAAACATCAATTTGTTTAACATTTGCAGAAGTTGAGAAGCTTGACATCAGCGACTGAATCTTTCTTCTTTCTCGATTTCTTGAAGTGTCTTGAAGCTGCCTTTAGAACACCATCCCATCTCTGAAGAATAACCACATTTCAAGATTTTAAGAAAAAAAAAACTTTCTGACATAAATCAAAATTAAGAACAAAACAGAGATAACAAGAATATCATCAATGTAATGTACCTTGGTAGGAAGAGCAAAGCAGCCAAATTTAGGAGAATCTTCGTTTTCTGTCGGAGAGATATCTAATTTCACTAACGTTTTCTTCTTTGTCATTAGCTTCTTCATCTTCATCTTCTTCTTGCCTTGTTGAAACTCTCCGAGCTCAAGTTTCCGACAAACGCAGCTGTCAGAGTCAAGATCTGAAGGACTAGCGTAATTTCGAGGCAAGAGAGGAGACCAGATTGAGCTCTGTGAGTAGTCGAATCCGAAAGCAGAGTTGTCTGGGAATTTGCAGAGCAGCTCGCGACACATTACTGGCTGTAAGTATTCAACTACTTTGGTTGTAATTAGAGGAAAATTCTCCTTCTCTTCTTCTTCTCCTTCTCGTTCTTCTTGGAGAATTATTTTCTTCACCATTTTTTTGTTTTTGTTTGTTTTAGATCCTTTTTTTTGCGTCTCTGAGTTTGGTCCTTTTTATATTTTGGGTGAAAGGGTGATGAAGAAGAAAGACGACCGTTGGGGTCGGATGTGGTATACGTGTCATTTATTTATTGGATAGTGAAAGATGTCCGAAAAGTTACCGTTGTGAAGAAGACTAAGATTGCGATCGGCGCAGGAATATTATCGTACAGTGTGCACGGCCGAATCTAACATTTATTTTTTGTTATTATTCAGCTCTTACCGTTACAATATACAGATTAAATTTTGATTCTAATGAGTTATCATTCATTGGTTTGATTCATGAATTTTGATTCTAATAAATAATAGTACAAAGAAATATTGTTTTTTTTAAGAATTTCAATGTAATATTTATGCAAAATATATAATCTTCAAATGGAAAAATACAACAAAATCCTGGTAATCTTAGACCCAAATATATATAGCAAACGTTAAATCAACTCCAAGTTTGGTTCTCTTAACCAAAGCATAATATAGAATTATCTTGTAACAGTTCTCATAATTTGCATTAGATTAGTTAATCAGTGTTTAAAAAAAAAACCCCAGCAAATTCTAATTTTTTTTGTCATTTGGTATATCACTGATTTTAAATTTCTTTATCTTACTAGAAATGAAGATCTTGTTTAAAATAGCAAATTCTAATTTCGCATTAGATGTAGATCGAACCACAAATATGGCGTAAAAACATTATTTAACTCTTGGTACTCAACCACGAGGCTTCTTCAGCCAACACAATACTACAGTGTGCTTTTATAAGTTAATAATAATAGCAAATAAAATCTGATTTTGTAATGCGTAATTTGAATATGTGAGCTACTAAGCTACGTACTGAGCTGCTCTATTCTTAGGATAAAGCTTATAATGAAAACATAGGTTTCTAACATCTAACGATTTGCTCAAATACATAAGTAAAGCGGATTATGTGTTCTGATTCAAACCATGTTTGATCCTGAAACTTTGCTAAGTGGCAAATAGTTGGTCGACCATCTTAAGGTCAACCGCTCTTCCTTATGTCATGCATCTTATATATAGTTATATGATTGAGTGTTCACTTTTTGGTCAATTGGTGTATAGAATTTTGCAATTTATAAAAGCAAAATAGTATACACCATTAATTATTTCCCAAAAGATAATAGAGTGACTATAGATACAGAAATATAAAGCTCATCAAAACTATAAAATATTGTTAAGTCGTCTTTGACTTGAACAGTTACGACTTTTAGAGCTAATCTATATGATTATTTTCCTCTAAGCACGTTTAAAATTATCCTTATATTGATATATTCATTTAACCTAATCTATACTTAACTGACGATTACACGAAAACACTCTGGCTATCCACACGTCGATGCAACTTTTGGATCCATGCCACCATGTGAGATGTGACTCGTTTCCATATTTTGTTTATTCGAGGCCACCGGAAAGAAAGGAAATCTAGGAGAGGAAAGTACGCAAATCTTATATTAAGATTTCGGTGGTGGTGAAATGTAATTAAATTTGTTATGCATTTCGAATTGACAAACTATAAACCAATTCGGTGTGTACGTAAACCTCAAGTTGTGCCAAGGGTAGATATAATTTTTCTTACGTGTAGACGTAGTATCAAGTCGTATTTCGTTCGAAGATATTGGTGCATGTTCCAGTTTTGGCATTGTTGAGCTAAAAACAAAATTTAAAAATAGTAATAATTCAGTGTCACATACACTTAAAAAATATTCATGTCGTCATTCTTCAGAATTTGTTACGTATACCATTTTCTCAAATTCTCAAATCTTTTTGTTAAAGCAAATTCTCAAAACTTAGCTGACATTCACGATCTAACGTGATTTAAAGTTAGAGATCCACGTTGGTAACAAGTCGATCTTCCCAAAGTATAAATTTTTACTTTACATAGTAAGGTGGTGCTTGTATCCACTCATTTATTAGTGGAAAATATTATCACCCAAATCGAAAATTGTTTAAATTTTACTTCAAACAAAATAGTCACGACCCATGAATTAATTTGCATGTCTGTCTTGCAGTATTGGAGAGTTGACACTGATTAAAAATGAAGTTAATCCCGAAAATTTGGGGATGCTGATTTTTTGATTAAAACTTATGCTTTTGCCCTTGGTTTCCGCAAAAATTAATAATGGTGTGCTCACATGCAGAGATCCATGCATGTGAATTGTGCGATTCATTTTATATAGGTTCGTCCTTACTTGGCATTATCCCAGACCCATTTTCTTTTCAATTTTTTTTTTTTTAAAGAACAATAACAAAATAATAAACAATTCAAAGGAGTAGATTCACGGGTTACACTATTTTTACTACACGCCAAATCTCACCCGTAACCTTGTACTTGCGTCCATACATTTCTCTCATTTGTAACTAATTTTAAAATCTTAGACTGCCCTATTTTTTCATAAACTTTTTTGATAGTTTAATTGACAGAGCTAACGTATGACGTATCCTTATTTTCGATTTACGTATCTACCATCCCAATATATCTATCTATATTTGAGATTATATATATATATTATATGAAAATAATTTCATAGATAGTAGTCGATCACGGACTTGCTTAATCCCTTTTCTTGGAAAGCTGAGATCTCAAAAGGTGAAGAAAATAAAAGAATCTAGAAACGTAAATCAAGATTAACGTACTTATCTAAATGCAGTATGATCAGTTTCACATAAAATATATACACAATGATATATAAAATGGTTCCAATTAACTGTTCTACAAAAATTGGGAGGAACAGTATTAGCTGTCACTCGAAATAATGTTCTGCTGGAATAGCATTAGTGCTAATATGATCGCACCCAACATTAATATTCTTGAGATTTTCCAAAAAAAACTACTATCTTTTTCTGTGAACTAAACATCACCCCTTGGTTATGTTCTACACATTCTAAGTTTTGAAAAATTGAATCTTTCATCTACAGTCTAATTAATATCTCTCTTTTTTTACATGCCAGATATGTTTTGAAATATAAATGGAAAAATTAGATCTCTCACGTAACAAATGACTTCTTATCTGTTAAGACCTCAAATGTGGGATTTTGCATATTTTTACTTAAAAGTTAAAATCAACCTCCGATAGTTATATCCCTTAACAAAAGTGTAGTTTTAATTAACATTATATATGTATATTTTAAAAATTAACATCCGAAAAAGTGTATTTTTGAAATTTTACCTAGCTTTACCAAACACTTTGCTTCTCTATGATTTGGTAATAATTTAAGGTCCCATTAATGAATACAAACACTGGCCTCTGCAATATTTGGACATTAACTATACATAAAACATATATACTATAGCTTTGGACCTAGCTAGAATGGATTCTCTTCCTCTATTTGTGTGTTTGTCATATGGCCTATATATCTAGGCTACAAAAACTAGGTTCCAAAAAACTGCCTAAAATCCTCATAAACAAGTGGACCCAATAATCGAAGGAGCAAGAAAAGAGGAAGGATCTCTACATGTCTTTTTGGTTTTACAAATTCGAGAACTGTCTCTTCGGTCAAATAATAGTGACAAATTCCTTCATCAATTTTCTCGCCACTAGCAATTACATTACAAAATATTTTGCATCTTGCAGTCTTTTGTTGTTACTTTTATGTTTTAATAAAGATTTTGTTGTTCTTGTTGTTATTATAAACCTCAGCATCATAGCCTAAGTGATGTGCCTAAAGTTTTAAGAGTCTCAAACAAATAAGATAAAATGATAAATAGAGTTAGCTTGCATGTTACAACTCACAATAGTCTTTTTTTTTTTTTTTTTTTTTTAACTCATTTGGTTTGTGGGCAGAAGCTCCACCACTTGAGTTCGATCAAGGCAGAGAGAAGATGAGAAGAAGAGAAGATGAGATTGTAGTCGTTTGGATGTGTCATAAACTCACAATAGTCATGAATATTTTACTTAGTTTTTGAATATAAACGTATTAATACAGCGAATATAACCAAATTATAGTAGTCTAGTGATTTGGGGAACCATTTTGTTAGTTAGGGACCTGTGGACATTTTAGTTATGATTTGGTTTAACAATTAACACTGCACTGTGGACGTTTTAAGTGACAACTAGTAATAAAATCCGGACTTTAACATGTCTTAAGGATTAGTCTGGGTTTCATCTTGAGATTCCTCATGATCTTATTTAACCAAAAAAAAAAACATAAACGAATATACAACTACGGACATACGGAAATTTCGGAAAGTTTGACAAATCCCTTTTACTTGTTTTTTTTCTTCTTCGCTATAAACTCCTTCTCTTCTTACGACCAAGTGACCTATAATATTGTACTCATTTATATGAAAGTCCAACTACAATAATCTTAATCCCAATTTGGCACGTTCATATCATCACGGTCACGGATGATGATAGGGACACAACATTAATATAAAAGAAAAATAAATATATTAAGATTCATTTGGTCTATATAAAGAGGGCGACCCTAAATAGTTTTAACGTACTTCATCACTTCCTCACAAAAGCAAACCCTAACCCTCAAGATGGGGCTTCTTCACAAACAAAACCTCTCCTTTGTGATACTCCTACTCCTTGGACTTCTTGTTGTCTCTTACGCTTGTGAATGTAGCGACCCTCCCAAACCATCTCCACACCCCGTTAAGCCGCCTAAACATCCCGTTAATCCGCCAAAACCACCCACCGTCAAACCACCTCCTCACACCCCAAAACCACCTACCGTTAAACCACCTCCTCACACCCCAAAACCACCCACCGTTAAACCACCTCCTCACACCCCAAAACCACCCACCGTCAAGCCTCCACCTCCGAACACTCCATGCCCTCCACCCTACACACCAAAACCGCCCACCGTCAAGCCGCCTCCTCCTTCCACTCCATCCCCACCACCTTCTCCTCCACCTTACACTCCAAAACCACCCACCGTGAAGCCACCACCACCGCCTACTCCCGTAACCCCACCACCGCCCACTCCCTATACCCCGCCACCACCCACCGTGAAGTCACCACCACCGCCCACTCCGGTAACCCCACCACCGCCCACTCCCTTTACCCCGCCACCACCCACCGTGAAGCCACCACCACCGCCTACTCCCGTAAACCCACCACCGCCCACTCCCGTATCCCCCCCACCGCCAACTCCAACCCCAGAGACTCCATGTCCACCACCTCCACCAGGTCCATATCCTCCCCCGCCTCCATCTTCCGCACCGGAGACTTGCTCGATCGACGCGCTAAAGCTAGGCGCCTGTGTGGACGTTCTTGGCGGTTTGATTCACATCGGACTAGGGAAAAGCTACGCTCAGGCGACTTGTTGCCCGGTTCTTGGTGGTTTAGTGGGTCTTGACGCAGCGGTTTGTCTCTGTACCACCATTAGAGCTAAGCTTCTCAACATTGACCTCATTGTTCCCATTGCTCTCGAGCTTCTTGTCGACTGTGGTAAGACTCCACCTCGCGACTTCAAGTGTCCTGCTCCTCAAAAAAGGGCTCCTGCCTTGGGTTGATCTCTTTGGTGTTTTCATTTGATACAATAAAAGAGTTTGAGACCTCAAGATGTAGGTTCTTCTATATGTTTTTCCAATCGCGGAAGCAGTAATTAAAAAGGATCTACATTTTGTTATTGCTCTAAATCTTAAAGCAAATTTTATGTAATTGTACCCTGATTATTTACGATGAAATAATATTATTTGAGTTTTTTTTAAAAGCATGCACAAACACTGCGTAATGGTCATTACTCAACGTGTACATGTGATGTATGTTATGATATAAAAGCGATCAGTTTATATAGAAGTCAAGATTTGCTTTTGCGCATGTTAAAAAATATGTTTATAATTAGAGCAATCACTTGTCAATCAGTAATTATTATCGATCGTTTATTTTTATGATACAATTTAAGTGGTGTAATCAACTCTTTCTTCTAAAAAGTGTTAATCAAATATCATTCAAAAATTGTGACGGTAATTTTTTTGTTTTTCTGTATTTTGCGTTGAAATCAAAATTTATGGTTCGATGAAAAAAGAAACAATGCACTATAGTAATATCTGAACGAAAAAAAGAAGAAGAGTACGATGAAGATCAGAAGATGTAAAGGAGCAAGTACAATAACTAACACAACATAGTGTTAAACTGTTTATGGCTTATGACACGTAAAAAACAATGGACATCATAATGTAATATGATAGAGCTACTATATACAATAAAAAAAAAATAGAGAAATTATCAATAAAACCTTAGGACAGCAACGCTTTATACCAGAAAGAAAATTTGAAACAAAAAACTAATTATAGGTATCCGGACCTATCAGTTCACAATCAAACTTGGTCCATAGACGACCCATACCATCTTATTCTTATGTGATATGTCGCACTACCATACACATAAGCAATCTATTGAACCGGAAATATTTACAAGGGATTACACAGACCATGTGATGTGTCCCTATTTAAAATGATTTCTCTAGTATATATATATTACTAGAAAATATTTAGGTGCATTTACAAATATCACCTACTCGGATTTAAACAAGCTCAAAACACAACTATAATATCTGTCTTTCATGCGTTCTTTAAACCAACACGAATAGCTAGCACTCTGTTTTTGCTTTTCACGAATAGAAACCTTTGTTTTTTTGCTAAGAACTCTCTCAAAGTGGTTAACGATGTAAGAAATTGATGACCTTTATTTATACACATAAATTTATCAGCTCATCGTAATAATTTAATTAAAAAAATTGCTTGTTGGTAAAAACAGTTTCATATTATTTTCTGGAAAAATATAATTTTCATATATATATATATATAGACATTTCATTTTCTCAATGGTAGCTATTCTATTTATTAGGGAATAATATCCCACATCGGAAGTTGGAAGATATCTTGAATAGTATATAAGGGGTATGGGCCTTTCCACTCATTGTTAATTGGTTTTGAGTTGGAAACCTATATAACTTAATCAGATCTCCGATCCATGCAATCCAACCCGATCCGACCCATAGTTGGTCCAATCATCGACAGGCCCAAAATTGGTGCCGGCTATCCAAGTCCGAACATATCGAGATCGATGGCTAAATAGCCATCGTCTCGAGGGTCATATTAGGGAATAATATCCCACGTTGGAAGTTGGAAGAGATCTTGAATAGTATATAAAGGACATAAGCCTCTCCACTCATTGCCAATTGATTTTAAGTTGAAGGCCTATATAACTTAACACTACTTTTCTTTACCGTCATGGAAAAATAAGTTCAGTTTACTTCCCTCCTGTTAAATTCGTTTACTTTTACCACCTTAGATTTTAATGGAAACTTTGGTACTTTATCAAATTCAGCATTCACATGGATCTATGTCAGCAAAAGTACATATCAGCTATCATTCCAGTTCTACTTCATGTAGTACTTCCTGTAAAACATTCTATTGTTTTCAAACAATAACATCTTCACTAGCTACACCCCAAAACATCGCAAGAATCGAGAATGGATCTTGGTAAGTTCTTGCCCCGAGTTTCTAAAAGTGTAATTATCAAATTCATTCAATAACCATATAAATTCAATGGGGTTTATTGACTGTTTAGTTTTTGTTAGAATGATTACAAATTTTGTTATATTTGAAAATATTTTCTTTTTTTGCAAATCAAACCCTCAGTTAACAACTATGCAAATTATACCCTAAAACCAAAAGAAACCTGCAATATACGACCTTTGTATATTTGTGACGAAATAAATAATGATTTTGTACAAAAAAAAAACTCACCAACTAATTTTTATTATACATATTTAACCCCCAACTTAAAAGATATGCAAGCCAAACCTGTAAAATCGAAAGTTACCATTAAAACCATGTACATTTCAGGTTTTGGGACATGTATTGACGGGAACGGGACAAACGGGAATCAAATTATACTACCCAAAATATTTCCTTATAATAACATGACGGAAAATAGCGGGAACGGAAAGTTTGAGACTACAAATTATACACTCGAAGTCTTACTAAATTGGGAAAATTAAAAATATTTAGGAAAAATATGAGAAATACGGGAAATTTTCTGAAATGCTGATGTACTCAACAATTGCATGCATTCAACATCATTTTCTGCATAGTTTTGTACATCTTTGAGTCTCATTTCATACTATTTAGTGTAGGTTTCATCTCCTTAGGATGCATTTTGCATTTTCCATTGCATTTGGAGTGTTTCCTAGGTAATTAGCAAAGTGATTAATACTATGAGAGTGGATTAGTCTTGTTTAATGAGTTCTTTGCCTAAGGATTAGCAATCATTAAACTATTTGAGCATCATAGATTGACTTGAGAATCTCCCAAGTTCAATGACCCTCATCCCACGTGCGTCCATTTGCATTTCTTTCATCTTTTGCATTTTTGTTTTATGTTTTATGTTCATTTAGGTTGTTAGCTTAAAATAATTTCGAATTTGCTTAGCTCACTTATGTTTCATGCATTCTTGATGTCTACTTTTCTGGATTTGACAAAGAACCTCAAATTATACTACAATTGATTAAGAAGAGGTTCATTTGTAAAGAGTACACAAAATTCAAATGCATAGGCCTATATGTATTTGTTGTTACCTATAAATGTTGACTCAAAACATCATGCCATGTCGGTATTTTTAATAATAAGAGCCTTTTTTTCAACTAATAATAATAGCTAAAATATTAGAAATGGCATGATATTTTAAGTTGACATTTATAATTAACAGTTGGGAACATTTCGTTAATTTTAATGGGTAAGAGAAAGATACGAGATGGTATAGAAAGAAATGGGTACCCAAATTACCCATTATAGAATTAAAAAGTTAAAAGTTATTAATATTATTTTTTTAAAATTCAGAATATTTCTTGTATTTACTCAACATGTTAATTTTTTTATATATTAATAGATCCCAAAGCATCCTCATGGAGAGCCACACTTGTGTTTTGAGTCTATCTAGGTATTAAACGCACATAGATTTTAGACTTTTACTTGCATACTAGAATAATACCTGCGTTATACGCGGAATAAAATGATAAGGAAGTAAATTTAGATTAATTTACTTTTATTTTTAAAAAAATAATTTAATTATTTAATGGAGTACCTGAAATTTACTTGTGCATGTATTCTGATACTGTTTTGTAAGTACCTAATGTATTTCACAAGTGATATATAATTTAAACAATAATTTATAGTTTAAGTTCAAAAATTAACATAGCAAGAATTAATATATGAAATCCGAAATCTGTATATGTATATTTAAATTTGAACAAAATGTGTTTCACATATTAAATAATTTCAAATAAACACAATAGTCACAATTTCAATTAGTTCAATAACATATAAACCATATTATCATATACAGTAGAAACTCTATAAATTAATAATGTCGGGACTTTGATATTTTATTAATTTATAGAGTTATTAATATATAGATTTTGACTAAAAATATTTTCAAAAAAAAAAGAATCATTATTTTATATTTTCTTAATTATTTTCACATGTTTCTATATTTACTTATTGTTTACATTTTCTCATACTTGCCATATTATTTAAAATTCCTTTTTTTGCTTTTAATTTCCATATATGTTTGGTGTCTAAGAGATTCATATTTTAGTAGTTAGATATTTTAGGTGTATATATATAAAAATAAAAATAATTATTAATTTATGATATTATTGGGACCATATTTTACATAGGATTTCAAAAAAAGTTATTATCTTATTATCTTATCGAATTGTGTCATATTTTACACCGGCCCAACTCGGGACCAGAGAAATTTATTAATTTATCGTGTTTATTAATTTATCGAGTATTAACTTATAGAGTTTCTACTGTAAATTTGTAAGATATTGTCTTTAATTTTATATGTAAACTGAAATAAAATATGTCCAAAGTGAACACTAATATTTTCCAACCATTTGGCGTGGTCAATAAGTGGCTAAGGAAACATAGAACATAACCTTTCAATTTTTCAAAATACTTGGAAACTCGTAGGGGTTAACCCACCAATTTCAAAAAACTACTACATTTTAAGATTTTTCTAAAATAATGAATGAAATACGTCAAAAGTGAATACTTAACTTTTTCGACCTTTTGGTGTGGTTTAAGGGTCTCTAAGGAAGCCTACTAAAATAACATTTCAATTTTATTAAAGTATTTGGAAACTCGTAGAGGTTAACCCAACATTTCCAAAACCTAGTACATTTAGAGGTTTTTCCAAAACAATGTGTAAAATGTGTGTAAAGGCAATACTTATTGCCTTTACGAAGAAAATTATTATAAAGCAAAAAGTATTTCACAAGTCAATGACAATCCACACAAAATATTTGATAAGAATTCATAAAATCAATGACAATCTACAAAAATTCTCACAAATTTTTAAAATCTCTAAACTTTCAAAATCCACAAGAATTTCACAAGTCAATGACAATCAATGACAATCCACACAAAATATTTGATAAGAATTCATAAAATCAATGACAATCTACAAGAATCCTCACAAATTTTTAAAATCTCTAAACTTT